TTTAGAGTAATGTATTACGAGTTCAGTCGTCTCCTTTTTCTCTTTCCGTGCTCTATACACTGATCTATGTCCTGATATTTCACTTGTTACTTTCTAGTTTGCAACACCTATGCCCTGGCCTCAAACAACAAAAAGCTTCTCCCAAAATCGTCAAAGATATTTCACGTAGAAAGCTTCAACTTATATCCTCATATGTCCCCAGAAGCAATTTAGTCTGCATCCCCGCTTCACATATTTCCCTTACCGCTGCTTTAACTTTCTTTTCAACAATAATTTCCTGGTTCACGTCCCCACTATTTTCCAAGAATCCGACCTGAGTTTTCTTGTTCGCTTTCTCCGATCTGTATCGACGCCTTTCATGTAAAAATAGTTAGAACCTCTCTGTGCCCGTTGCTCTGGGTCGGAAGAAAGTACGACGGATTGGGCTGAGTCCAAAATTACTCTAACACTCAAGACCTATGACAAGGCTGAACGCAAGACTAACAATATCGTGATCTACACAGATGATCATGCTGTGCTAGAGGATCTGAAGTGACTCAAGCCTACAGCAAGTCTTACTGTGGCATTTGTTTTCGCTAAAGAACTGGCCTTGTGCCGTGCCAGCATAATATGGGATCCCTGGCATGAAGACATTCCTGACAACTCGACAGCTCATAGAGCGGTTTAGAGGGAGATGCGTATCCTCACGTCTCCGTCAACCTTGAGTGACTCCCTTGTGTCAGGCAAATCAAGACGAACTTCACCCTGCAAGTACGACCCGATAGAGTAGTACGTCAAGGCATCTAAGGAACAGAAAATTTTACTGCTGTAACCTGTGAAGTTCGCTGAGAGGACAAATACCGAATCCCCGAAGGGCCTTCCATGTGCAAGAGAATGGTACTTCTCCGCAAGACCCAATCTGGTGAAGCGGTCACGCTTCACCAGATTGGGTCATGATGGGAAATTTCAATATCATTAATGTATTAATATTTTTAAGCGAATTTCGCTCATGGTCTGGTACAGTATCTTTTTTTGTTGTTTTATGCTTCTGCACGCCCCTCACTCCTTTTTGGCAGAATATTTTATATTGCGCGAACGATAAGCAGAAATGCGCCGCATGAATACAAATTAGCTATTTATACTCCGTTTCACACCAAGTACAACCGGAGCGAACCAATCACATAAAGCCAATCAAGCAGCGTCAATAGTGTGTCGTCCAGTCGCTCGTTCTTTCTTTTGCGTTCGCTATCTTCGGTGAAAACAATCACGAACAGTATAAGAAGAGGATCAGGCCGCATTCACAGTGCGTGTTTGGTTTAGTTGCTGATAGCGAACGCACAAAAACCACGAACACCGTGGCGATGCACTTTCTCATTGCTTGATTGTATTCATCAAATTTTAGCGTTGGCTACAGTAAGATTTAGTGCAAAACTAAGTACAGTACCGCTCGTTAGAAATGCCTGATCATGAAATTTTCAGGAAACTCGGACGGCCTTATCAGACGGTAATATTAGAGCTGATCATCTTCATGGCTAACCCCAATCGCCAATCATATCCTAATGAACTCGAGATTTCCGTTATGTTTTCTTTAATTACACGCTATGTCTTTCAAATTATCCTTTTGTCCCGTATTATAATAACTTTTTGGGCATCTCGAAGCAGTATTTCACGGTCGAGGCAGAATTACACGACTGAAGGAAGGGAGCGTTAAAGCAATCGTTTGCTATATAGTTCATTGTATTTATTACTCGATTGACCTTTTTTTTTTGTTTACACGAAAACTGTATATGACTTGTAAGTCAGATTTGGTCGTGTCGGCGTCCTCACGGAAGAAACAAAACCGTCAGCGATTTAAGCGGAAAGTGCATATATTCATTGGAATTACGCATACAAAATACAGTACATCATTCGTTTCCTTAAATAATAAGCAGTGAACAAACATCCGAAAAGCATACTTGATGATAAGGCACTTCTGATAACAATGCAAAGCACGTAGGGCTCACCGCATACGGTTTTCGGTAAAGATTTCTCCTGACTGCCAGGAGCTAGCTGAGGTATAATTCATGAGGGTAGACGAAAAAAAAAAACAGAATTTCAGTAAATGGTTGATAGTCCACCAGTGTGTGTCTTTTTTTCTCCACTCCTTGGTTTTTTTCCCTCTACGTTCAGTTGGAAACCTTCAGAATTAAAGATTACTGATGCGCAAGCTACGGTGGCGACGCTATCTTGCGACGTGGGGAATGATTTCACTAGCCTTTCGTATATAAAAAGTGTTGGTACAGTGCATTCACTTTTCATTCGTCAATCATTTGTATAGTGCAGTGGGCAATCGTTGCAGGTGATACCAGAGCTTCGCTGGTCAACCACCTTCAGAGCGTGGACTGTTTTTTATTCACCAGCTGTTTTTTTAGAAACTAGCAATAACGTTCAAAGAGTATATGCAAAACTTCAATATGAGAATAAATGATAGCCAATCAGCACAGCAATGTGCCGTATCGCCAACACATTTCGAACAAAAATATTGGTTAGCGTGAATTTATATTTATGCTTACTGAACTACGAACCAGTCGTAATTTCAAATGTGTCATAAAAAAACGGTGTGTAATCACGGTTTATTTTCAAAAAAATCTTACGCATGACCGAACATGGCGAGAAACAAAGTAAAGGTATTGGAAGAGGAAAATTAATATTATTTTGACGTTTACTTTCTTTCATAAAGCTGAATTTACTTTGATGGCAGTAACACTATATTACGAAAGCTACGCTTAGATTATCAGTACTGACATCGACAACATTATTGTGGGCGCTGCCATTTTGATGCTAAGTGCAAGACAACGTTACTACAACAGCTGGGTTGGGAAACTGCCATAAAGTCTGCTTTGAAAAAGTTACTCCGATCCGTACTCAGAACCGAACTAATGGCGATCGCAGCCCCGCCATTTCTCAAGCAGCTACCCCTCCGGCAACTGCACGGTTGCACGTATTGGTTCAGATCGAGTCGCGCAAGGGGCGGTAGTGCCATCTCGCAGTGCCGTTTCGCAGTAGTTATATATATCAACATTCACATTTTGACTCGCGGCTAAAGGTCGGCGCTGTTATCGTATTTAGTTTGGTCTCGGTTAACGCGAGCGGTTCGCGTTTAAATTACGAGATTCCCAACTGAGTGTTTTGTTTTGACGTTGGTGCACAGAGAGGTGAATAGACCCTTTTAGCAATGCCGTGCAGTGTAGCGGCGCCAATTCCAAACTATGCGCTATCGCTGAGAGCGGTCACGTGCGTCGCGTTTCCAGATAATAGATAATATTACAAAGATCGAAAGATAATGTTACAAAATATACGAGGCTATAGGCTGAAGCTGTTCAGTCAGGCTGGCTACCTCTCGATCGCTGCTAGTAGCCGCCACTTCCTGATGCAACAAGTTGATCAAGGTACACTGTAAACGAGCTCAATTTCCCGAAGACATATTTTTCACGCGGTTCGGGTCTTCAAAAATATTGTGAAAAAAAATCGCGAATATAAATTACTCTATAGCAAGTAATACCAAGCGTACTCCTCCAAAGTCGCAAAACATTGTGCCCGCCAAATATTCACGCAACCGACACTCCTTCGATTTTGTGAAATATGGAGGCCGCGAAAATAAAGTCAAGAGTATTTGCTTTTATATTTCTTGAAAGACCTAAGAGGGGAGAACGTCGTCTCAAAAGACTGCCACTGCCGTCGAAGCCATCGTTTTCTATATTGCTGCTGCTGAAGACGCGATATGGAACGCGATCGTGCAAACGATGGCGTGACAAGCAATTCGATTGTCGATGTAAACCGCATTGCGAACGCAGACGCGAAAGCGATTCCATCGACAATGTGGACAGCGTCGCCAATTAAAATACGAAAACCTAATCAATCGCCGATGCAAAAACAAAGCCCTCGAAAACAAAGTCGTCGTTTTTGCGAACGTACTGGCACGTAACTATTAGTCAGAAACTTAAACTGCACCTTCGGTTTTGGTCGCCCGTCTTGAGGGCGCCGTAGTTGTCATTTACTGTATCCGTAGTTTATACCGATTTGAAACGTGAACCAAGCTCCTGTGCCACGATAGCGAATCACGACCTGCGGCAGTGATGCTCGCGATCGCAGGCGCGTACCCCATAAGGGCAGTGCCTCGCCCGATCATGGTGGCCAGTTGCACTTGCGAGCGCCCTCGAGGCAGCGGCTCATTGTTGCCAAGAGCGATTTCGGACAGGGTCTACTGAAGCTTCTTACGATTCCGAATTGCGACTTCCTGGGTTTTAGATGCAGTGTCAGAGTGCTCAGGCGATACCATTTTTCACATTTCCTAAGTGCTTTAATATTTCCAGAGGAAGGAAAATCGTTTCTTGCGATTTCAGATAAAGACTATGATAACTGGCATCAATGTTTCTAAGCACGAATAAGGTTAAAGTGAAGCTATCCTGAAGTGTCAATTATTTAGTCTATTTAGCCATAGTGGTGCCTCAGCGTGAAACCAATTATCTCAGCAAGCGTCAAAGAAATGGCGTTATTCCGTGTACATTTCATACACAAGGCGACCAGGAAATTTTCAACAAGTGCCAGCATGACCTATAAAAAACACAGAAATTAAAAACTTTTTTATTAATATTCCTTTTGATCGTTGGAAGTCCTATCTGTTTGACTCTTTACCTCTAGAGTCACCCCGACCTTTCATGCAGAGCTTCTGAACAGAGTGTTTACAGTGCGAAAACTACCAACGTAAGAATAAGGAATGACGCAAAAAAAGTCTGAAAACATTCCGTCACGCAAAAAGGTCCGCTAATAATTATCACGAAAGTTCTGAGGTTATAAGCCGCTCTCGAGCTTTCGGAAATGTCACTGCACACATCCGTATCCTGTTGAATCACAAATAACACCCTCGCGAGAGCCACTTTATGAACAATTGGAAGCTGGCGTCACTACGCTAAGCGTGGTTACGCAACGGCCAGTCCCCGTCTTTAAAAAGAAGTTTCGGGTAACGTGAGGCGTCAGAAGAGATGTCTGCATTTCTAGCTTCAGTGCTTATCTGTGCCATGGTGGCGGAGGGCCTTCGGGCAGGTAAGTTATAAATGGGACATTTATAAAAGTAATCTTAGCGTGTGCCTGTTGAAAGTACACTAACCGTTTCAGTAAGATTCAATAACGTTTTGTAGTCTTTGTGTAGCACTGCTTTAAGTAAACTTAACAGAAACTATCGAACAATCTCCACACCAGATACATGAAGAGACGAGAAAGAATAAGCGGGAAAGGATGTTCAAGAAGCAAGAGACACTCACTGACTCAACGAGATTCGGCGATTTGGTCATGCAGAACCACAAGAACCATTTCAATATAATGTAGATATTGGAAGTGAATAATGCAGAATTGAGGCCTTTATAAAGCTGTTCGTGAGAGCAACGCAGATAAGTTACACAAAATGTATATCAAACTTCGTTAATCTGCATCCAAATACTCTCAAAGGAACATGAGTGTCAAGTATTTTATATTAATCTATCTATATCGCTCAAAAACTATTATTGTAAGGGTTACACCAAATAAATATACGCCACACAAAAAATGTAGATGTAGATTTCACAAATAAGCATAACAAAATTAAAGACACTATATATAACAAGAATCTTGCAAAACTGAGAACATATTAGGGTGCATTGAGTATTATACATCTGAGATGATTTGGGTTGTGTATAGTAGAAAAGAACAAAAGAGCGGTCAAAAGCATCATTTGCAGGACGTAATCTTTCACACCTTCTTCCCGTGATTGTTTTATTGTGAAGTAAAGTGTGGTGCCTTTATATTTATCGTTATGAATGCCGATTTGAATTATTAGAATTAGCATACAAATTTAAGAGATTAATTTTGTGCTTTGATATAAAAAAAATTCTGGCCAATTTGGTACGTAATGTGGTAATAAAATACATTTTGGCCAAACGAAACAAGTATGCGGGTGTGGGTGGGTGCGAGAGGCCGGAACAGGAATATTTTGTTTCACTTCTACCGTAAAATTCCGAGAGATGCCCCACCCCGGAAAGATAGCCCACCCCTATTTTTGGTTTGATTAGCTATTTTTTTAAACACCGAAAGATACCTCCAGACTCCTAATAGCAGTAGTATTGGGGTCAATGATGACCTCGGCGTAAATGCGGCTAGTTAGCTATGGCGGAATACAAGCGAACGTTGCTAGTTGGGAAGTACAGTTAACTTTGCTTCGTTGCCCCTCGCCACCATAACAAGCTTGAAAGGAACATGACCTAAAAATAGTAATTTTTTTTAAATTTTCTTTATTGTACACCGAAAGTTAGGCCACTCCATATTTTCACCTGATTTGCTCTTGATGTTAGTTGGGTTATCTCGGTATTTTACGTACTGCCCGTGACGGTTCGAAAGTGCGCGGTGGCGTTTGGACGACACACCAGTACACCGATCGCCGTAGCGACCGATGAAGTGACATCACGGCGGTTCTCCAGGCGACGAATCACGATATGTGTGATGTCACGAGCGATGGCCAACGGAAATCAAATGGAAGTGGTGGCAAAGGGGAGGGGGAGTGGGGGGGGGGGGGGTTAGTCAAGAGGGCTGTTTGATGCGCTGGTTGCGGCGAAAAAAAAAACGCGCAGGTGTAGACACTACGTGCGGAAGAAGGTAAAGAAGCCTTTTGGTGGCATTTTTAGGTACATCAAGGATGATCCTACAACAAAACCGACTGTTCCTTAGCCTCCGTTTGCATTTTTGTATGGTTTCCAAGAAGTGAAGAGCCCCACCTCCCTATACGCATACACGACTCGATCCCATCCGGGTGCTCCGGGCCGCCGAATCTTGAAATATTTCCCACTCTCATTGTGGTGAGCGGAAAACGAAACACGTTATCTGGGACGTCACTCCATTCCAAAAAGATATACATGCTATGGTTCACGCACCCGCTTGCACTCGCATTCATGTTTTTGATTGTCGATCGCCCTTTATGCCCTTTATCACGTCGCAAATTACTCCTTATTAATCTTCGCTCGGCTTCATGAATTGCCAGGATTCCATACAGATAATTATCTTACAACTATGGAAAAAATATCTGTCATCTGCTCCCAGAGAACCTAATACATTGTACTTTAGGCTCGGGCATAGCCTCCTTTATACTCACAAAGCCTGGCAGTTCGACGACGGAGCCATAGACGACGGTCGCAGATTTAGAGCCCGAGGATCTGGTAGCACAGAGCATTAAAGAGCCATTTGTCGGGGAATTTGGACGTCAACGCTTAGCTTTCGCAGCGGCGCGCGAGGAACCAAAACACACTTGTTTGCTCGGGAGAGCGTTGTTTGGGCGTCTCACCGCAGCGGGGCGCCGGTCATGTGGCTCTATTCTCATCCGCTGTATGCCGCTCCACCTTTTTTTCATTCCGGCGGCCGATTCTCGTGGCGACCTGTCAGGCTTCGTCAGTATTTAGAAGGCTATGTTTCGGGTAATGCGAAGGGAGAAAGAGAAACAGAGAAACACATATGAGGCGATGAATTTCTTAAGACATAACAGTGACCATGATCATAAAAGCATGCATTACAATACCGCGAAATTCGGTCGATAAAGCTTTTTTTTTGTGTTTAGCATTGAGTATCTGGAGCTATGCTTGTCTAACATGAGAGAGACCTGAACGATATGCGCGGAAATAATAAAAAAAAACAACGCACAAGTCAACTGAAAAGTTTGACGCGAGGTCTGCTTGTACTACAGAATACACCACAAGACATAAAAAGATACCTGCTTGACAATGTGCACTTTGGGCAGTACATGTACGTCGCAAAGGGTAAATGGTGTGTACATAAAACGATCGCTACGTCCACACGCGGACGTTTGATTTTATATAAGGGAAGATTAACATCATAACTGCAATGTTGCACATTATTTGGCCCTAATATATTAAAAACAAATGTGCTTTATGCGTTAGCCACGAAAAAACCTGCAAGTTGTGTGATAGTTAGCCATGCAAACTTTTTTTGTGGGGAAAATAAAATTTTTTAAGCGAAAAGCTCATCGAATGCGAAGTCTTTCAAACTGTCAATAAAACAGCAGAAAAAGTATAGGTTAAAGCCACCCAATGGGGTGGCTATAAAGCACCCCTTAAACTTTTGAAAGTAAAAATTTTAATACGCGACGAAATTATTTACACACTTTTCTCTGTGCCCATATTAATCTCCCATTCTTACACCACTAAATATTTATGCCTAATACCTTATTTTAAAAAGAGATTTGCAAATGTTTTAATACAAGTTAATGCTTGACCTTTTCACAAATGCGGATGAGGACGCAGAAAAGCGAACAGTGAACGGTTCTTCTAAAACGCATACCACATTCGACGTACGTACCGTTACCGAAGTTAGCTGCCATTATTTATTCTGGAGAATAGAGAGTAGTTAACTTTCCCGTGTGTACGGAAGCAAATTTCAAGATGTAACGCTCTATGGACCGTGCATTTGGTTGGTGGAAGAAATGTGCACCCGGTTTTCAGGTGGCTACAAAAGTTGGTTTACAATAAATGCCATCGAGATCGTAAATAAAATTGCAATGTTGAAATTAGAAAGCTCGATTTCATGTTGCTGCTGGATTTTGAACAATACTCATAACTCTAAAGTGCAAAAAAAAAGTTTTTTACGTGATTTTTAGTTACTCTCAGTTCAAAAAAGATAAAATCTGCAAAATATCTTTTCTTTTTTTTTTTTTTTTGCACTTGGGGCAATTTTTATTGCGTGCACTAACCCCCTCCTTTGTTTCGGATATCGGCCGCAGGGACGAGCCACTTCCGATCCACGCTTGGATAGGTGGTAGCTCGTCGCTTCTCTCCTACACAACCTTTCCGCTAGATGGAGTTGTTCTTCATGGGCTGTAAAGGAAAGAGTAAAAAGACGCGGGAGAAAAAATGCAGAAGGAACCAACCCTTGATAGCTACATGGCAAGAGACATTGATTTTAGAAAGAAGGGAATAATTGATAATCCTAGAGGCTGTGCGTTAGTATTGGAGGCTAGACCACAGATATCTGAGAATTAGCAATCATAATATAAAATACAAGGAGCTGGATAGAACAGCCACTACAGTGAAAAAGAAATAAAAACGCCTAAGCTTGTTATCATAAAATGTAAATGACTCGAGCACCCAATGACATCGCGCAATCAAGACCACTATTTTATTTCGGGACCTGGGATTTCAAGAGGAACGTAAAGCAAAGCATATCCAAGGAAGTAGAACAAAGGTAAAGGATGATTTGAGGAATTGTGATCAGAATACAGATAGGAATAGATCTATACTCTGTGTAAAATTGTTTAACACTACTTAACGCAACGCCAGTTATGAAATTTGGCTAGCTGGGGCCAATCACCAGTCAACCAAAGGGGAACGGCCTCCACGCATTAATTTGTTCATCTATTTCAATACACAGTTGGACGTGATGTACTGCTCGAAATACTTGTGACGTCGCTAGTGACGTCAAAGCGGGTTCGCCATAGGCCTTGTTCAAATGTTATGCCGCATCATAGCTGAGATAAAGGTTCTTCAGTTAGGAGACAAAACTCAGTTCGCGGAGTGGTTGACTTTAGCCACGGCGTAACATCAGCTGAATTCGTCCTGGGCACTAAGAAATATTTGAATATGGGTTCAGCACTTTTTTTTTGCTCAACTTTGACACAAGAAAAGCAAAAATGGCGTACGGGACTGAAAAGAGACGAAAATGAACAAATGAAAAGGTCACGCCGTTTCCAGAATGCTGCCTGAAAAAAACATGTTCAAATTCCTCTCTACCGCAATCATTGTTGTGTCCCCCCCGCGCCCGAGAAAATGGCCAACCTTATAATAGTTTCAGAAGTATTACACTATATTTTAGAAAAGGAGTGTCATTTGCTTTTGGGGGTCATCAATTCCCCGTTTCGGAAAAAGAATATTTCTACATGGTTCGTAGTGAAGCTCTGCAAATTGGGTGTTTTTGATTGCTTTCATCATATAATTGCATAATCTGTCGAAATGGCGTCGATAATATTAATTGCTGCTAGGGTGTCCAAAATTTTAAAAAAGAAGCATTTCGGAAGCGCTTTAAAATGAGTCGTTCTAGAGGCAAAAAAAAATCATGAGTCGTCTGTGAATATATAACGTGATTCCTTCCCTATTCAAGCTTTCAACTTCCTCCGTGTTTGATATTTGCACCGCGAAAAATGCACGTGTATATATTTTTTCTATAAGTGCTTCAGCTGTCACGTCGACAGAATCAACTAAACTTGTTCCTTTCTTTTTTTACGTTTTCTCCCTCCCGATCAATTTAAAACTTTTGACATTTTCAAGAGACGCTTGCGCAGCGCGAGATCATGGCCACCATTGCTGACCTTCTCTTGTCTTTCTGAGATGCCGAGCTACTCAAGCGGGCGTTCACGAGCCCCCATAAAGGTCTGTGCTAGGGGGAAGGACACAGTAGAACATAAAATGACACTGACCTGCCCTTCTCTGGTAATGACCGATTGCCGTGAACGTAATAAAACAAAACAAAATCTGAAGGTTGTTTAAATGCTGTCAATTCTTTAGCGTAAGAAGTGCTTAGCCGATGTTGCTGAAATTCGATTTTTTTTAATACTGGCACACTATACACATTATTGGTGCTGCCTCTGCTGGAGCGCTGCTATGCATCATCCTCTCCCCCTCAAGAATACTTAATGGGGAAATCGGAAAGTGTGCAGCTCGGCGCATCGCGTAAAATCTGTGCGTGGCCACCGCGAGCGGCCAACAGGTCTTTCCCCGCAGGGTCGAAAGCTCTTGGCGGTGCCTAGAGCAGAGAAAACGCATCGTGCGAATCAGTGTGCTGTGCGAACTGCTTTGCGGATCTTTTTCGGGAACTCGCCAGTTGGCCTTTCTGTGCCTCAGCAGAAGGTCGCGATAGCCTGAGCTTCTCCGCGTGGCAGGACTGCGCGACGCAGGTAATCTCTTCTGCCTCGTGCCACTGGAGACATCCTGCCCATACCGTTGCTGCCGCAACCCTCTGCCGAGATCGCGCGAGGAGTCCCGGGAACTTCGCGCAGCATTGGCGACTCAAATGTCATCGGGCGTGTTGACATAATCCGAAATTTTATCAATCCGTCCCTTTCACCTTTCCCACTCAAATCTTAACAATCAATTTGAGTTTTTGCTTTAGCATCGTTTTAATTGGACTCGCAGCGTACACGACTGCAGGCTAGCAGGCACACTAGCGTAAGGATTTTTTCATATCTGCTTTGCCTGGCACACTGCAGTGTGCACACCTGTTTCGTGCCCATATATCACTTAATTCCTTATTCACTTAGTTAATCACTGTTAAAAAAAACTGAAGGGGAAACATTGCAGTTATTCACGTGGACTTTCGCAAAAGGATTCTTTTCTTCTCATCCGAAACGCAGGACCTTCTGCGGAATATGTTGCTTACCCAAGACTTCTCGAAGCAAGAGGAATGAATGGAACAAAGCTACTTCACATCAATGAGAAAATTACTCTGCATTTGGAGAAGAGCTCTGTACTCGCTGAAAATCTAGTTGTATCGACAATTAATGGCAACGAGCAAGTGGATACTTTGGTAAGTATCTTTGCTATTCTGAAGTACAACTTTCTGTTTATTTTGCTACTTATAACGGTCTAACTCCATGATTAAACCAAGCTTTGTAGCTAATTAAGTTTTATTAGCAACCACTTTATGGTGTGATGCCGAATTGTGTTACGCATCTCTAGCATATTCGAACTCGGGGTGAAAAAAGATAGTGTAATACTTATATTTCCAGATTGCAGGACGTACCAAGTGGATAACAGTATATATGTCTTGAAGCGGGGTGGATTTATAGGTTATGCTTAGGGAGAGGGGGGGGGGGTCTGCTAAGAGATGACGTCACGGGCAAAGCGTTGCCGAAATCTCTTTTGTTGACCTAATATTGACGATGTCATGAAATATAAACATTTCTTTCTAGAAAAAGCAGGAGCATGTCCTTTTTCCGTTACAAAAACGTTGATCCAAACCCTCAAACCTTCCCAAGCCATGAAGCATACATGCATTGAATGGCTCGCGAAAACCTTTTTTATGTTTTGTGCTTGTCAATATTGATGTTTTATGTACCTTATATAATTAAGTATTAGCATATAAAATGATCCTATGCATTATTTATTTTTCCTGCTTTCCACTTTTATATTGACTACAGGAGCCCGATTCTGATATCTAAACTTGAACTCATCTCCGACATTAATTAATTAATTCATACTTCAATTTATGGATGCTTTTTATGGTATATAAATATCTTCGCACATTAAGGTTATGAGCTGCTACAATAAATTTGCGAAATTCTACCGTTTCTTTTGTTGTCCAGGAAAAAACATCAACTAAAACTAAACATCAAAAATAACTTGACAGAAATATATACAAATGAAAGAAACGAAAGCATAAAATTGAAGCGAAAAAATTTCAAAAATACAATTGTGACAAACTCAGGTATTTTTCGACTATGAATACCACTGTGAAATGTCAATGGTGTGAGGCCCCACAGGAGTGGAAAACTATGCTTAGAATTTTCGGAAATATTTAGTGTATAATCATAATGGCATCACTGTTAATTTTAGAACGAATTTTGTAATTACAGGCAATTTTATCAGCATTTTTGCACCAGTTAGCGCTTATCCCTACTGACAATAGCCCTTAGTCTTCATGAGTTATGGGACCATCTCAGCCCTAAAAACCCCATCTGCCCTTCAGACTCTCGAGCCCCTCCGGCCGTTTAAGCCTCTAGCCCGTCAGACCTTCCAGACCTTTAGCCTTTGAGGCCCATTCAGTCTTTAAACCCTTTAGACGCCCAAATGATTGGGGACCATAAACCAACAAAGCAGCTGTAAACAACGTTCTTGGAGGTTTATTTTACATATTTAGTTTTACATGCCTGTTGAATCTCAGAAGAATGACAAAAACTATGAGTACTCAAACCTAGGCAAAGTAGCTGTAGACGAAATTCATCTCACAAAATATTTGCAACAAAGTTCTCAGAAGCAAGAAAAATAATTTTCGAGTTACTGACAATGTTGCTGGTATGCGCAGTAGTTCAATCCTTAAAACCGAGCAGATGCACTACACACATGCACGCACAGGCGCGCGCGCCCAGACATTTACACAGACTCATATATACCGACGAGTCACGCGATATTTCCCACAAATACGTTAAAACTGTTATGATCAGCCGCGTGCTTTCCCGGGAAAGATTCCAACAGACCCCACATGTCTCTCCCAAAACTATGACGGACCCCAGGCCCTTCAGACAATCTTGAGGAGTACGTCAACACATATCTCACAAAACCGTACTGAATCCCTCAGACCTATTAACATTTTCTGGAAGGTAAGAGAAGAACCTTCAGAAGTACTGATGTGCCCCATATACGATTTTTGTTATTCAGATGCCTTTCCCGGTCGCCTATTTTTCGTGGTTTACTATTCTTGAGCATGTGCTTTTCCGGGCACTTTGATATTTTTCGTAAATATCATTTAACCAAAGGGCACCCTTCAAAAATTTGGAATGGTTTCGTTGACTCACCATCAGCGAGAAAGATGTCAAGGTTTGGTATATTTCGCCATTATGGTCGGTGTTATGCTAGCTCTTGTGATCGGCAAGTCAGTGTAGCGTAGATGAACTTCTAGAATGTCCGACCGCTTGATAGAACTTGTTGAACCACCTTGTAAAGGTCAATTCGTTACACAGAAGCATCGTCTTTCTATCTCTCTCTTCTTTTTTTAGTTCGCCACACGTTTGAAGGCTATCACTTCGCACCGATCACCATATAGTAGCCTCATCTTGTTACTAACAGCTTAAGCAACGTAGGATGGGGCTTATTGTGTTCACGTTTCTTGTTCACGGGATTCGTTCTTGTGCGTTCTTATTGTCAAGGAGAGCAATCTCACTGACTGCAAAGTGGAAGTGACATGATCAATTTTCACCACGCTCTGCGTTCAAACTTTCAGTGACTAACCATCCCGCGCGGTTATTTCTTACGCAAACGATGGCGCGTCTATTTAAACAGGTCTGTGCCTTGACAACAAAAGTTCGCGCGCATAGTTGACAGGGGCAGCTGTTAGTGGCCCGTCTCGGGTTTCGAGACGGTGTGAGCGTAAACAAAAAGTTTTCCCTCAAATTTGGCGGGAAGGTTGATGTCACGTGACCTTGCGTGACGGGACCTACTAAAAATGCAGGGTTCCCACTAAATTTAGCGGAATTTCTATGTCTCGTGGCTTATGCACCAAGTCATTTTCCCTACTTAATTTGGCGAAACATTTATGTCACATGACCCGACGTCACCGGACCTACACACAAATTCATACTTCCCGCTAAGTTTAGCAGAAACATTTACGTCACCTGACTTAACTCAGTTTCCCCGCTAAATTATGTGGAAAACATATCACGGCCTAAAATCAATTATTCATCAACAGCGTATCAACGTTAAATCAACGCAACGCCTTTTCAATATCAGATCACTGCATGACGCAAGATCGACGCAATCTCATTCGATCGCCATCGTCATATTCTCGAATAAGCTGCACAGCTGACGTTGTCACACGAATCACGACGCGTGACCGTCGGGCAAGTTTACATCTTTCTGCCGCCTGTCGGTTAATGCTAAGTGAATTCGACACAGCGCACGAAAAACAAAGCAAAAGTAGAAGGAGATACACAGGCAAGCTCCTAATCTCAAGTGAATTTTTTTATTCGAAAGAAACACCGAAGCATACAACAGCCTTGCACGCCATCATCGTAAATTCATCAAGTGTTTAGATAATATGTTTCTGTGTTATGCAAAGTGACCGATGTTTGGTTTACACATTGCCTAGTCACACCCCCTCCCTTTTTTTTTCGTGTAGGCCTCTTCGATTTCTCTAGTCATCTGATCTGTCCCATTCCAGCACTTGTGGCGTGGTGAAAGGGCTGGCATTAACAATCTGCAAAATGAAGCGAAAAGTGCACGCCCCCCCCCCCCCCCCCCCCCCCGCTTTCGGCGGCAGAGACGGAGCATGCTAACGCAAACTTTCATTTATACATCGGCCCTTTTAACCAACGTACACCTTGCCGCATGTCAGCGGAATTTCATGCACGACGTCCGCCGCACATTCCACATATTCGTTCCTATGTTTGATTGAGCAAATCTACAGGGATTAACATTTGTAGGCAACTCTTGGGCACATTTGCGCGAATTTGTTAGGCGCATCCTACGCTATCCTGTATGATACAATGATTCTGTACTGGGCATACCCTTGGCAACGACATCAGTTTGGCAAGAGCTAGGGTTCAACCAACATTGCAATAAATGTTTAGCATAAAATGAAGAAATGGGCTTCAAGGCATATCACAAGAACACTGAAAGCGCGAGGGGTCAGTGACAAGAAAGCGTCCCGTTCGTCTTCGTTCTGGTCCTTGTTTTCTGGCACATTACTATAGGGTGACCATATTGCTCAATGTAGCAAACGGCACATCCCGGGGGGTTGCCCTCTGAGATTTTGTAGTGTTGCCAACTGAGTTTCTACATGCAGGCAATATTCAATACCTCAAAAAATATTCCTACATACCCTTCTTTACGCGAGAAAAAGTGTTTGTGAACAAGAACAGTTCTAAATGTTTCTCTCTGGGTAAATATGTTAAAGTACCTATGGGTATTTTTGTAATATATACTTCTAACCAGTAGGCATAGTTTAGGTTTGCTTCAACTCGCTTGGTGCCAATTTCGAAACTATGCAGTCCTGCAAAAAAGGAACATGATTTTTTGCTGAGACAAAAATACGGGACGGCAGAAGCGTTCCCCAAAAACGGGACTGTCCCGGCCAAAACGAGACGTCTGGTCATCCTAAATAATTATTACGTGAATTGGTTACTCTACAGTTGTATTTAGGTTAGTATATCACAATTACTAGTACAATATCGCGAACGTGTATTTTTCAATGTTTTAGCTTACCTGGGGGCTCCTTGCACCAAGACCTAGCAACAACGACCCTTCCTAGCATGAACACTCATCCCATTTTTGTAGCGTCTTAGCGCCAAGTGAAGGAAGTTGGTAATTTAATCCGCCTTTTACCAAAATACCTACTTTTGATCATTATTGCAAAAAAAAGCGTGAGCTGTAAGAATCAACAAAACTACTGTGTTTGCGTGGATGTGTGTGTGCGTGTGTGTGTGGGTGTTGTTTTTGTCGTTGTTTTGTTGTTGTCGTTTCTGTTCTTTTTCTATTTAATGGGGTGGGGTGGGGGGGGGGGCGGAAAGAAGGATTGAGTGGCGTCCAAGCACAAAGCTGGGAGTTGAGGTGCAACCAAAAAGTTACGAGACTGCTTTTGTAGCGTAAGAAGAGAGGGCAGCATGGTGATGCGCGCGTAGCAGTCGGATGCAGGGACCTTTTTGCCTCATTATGCCAAAGGGTGTTTTGCTGGAGCCATTCCGAGCCGATCTATGTTTACCACATATACGAGCACAACGGCGATTAAACCACAGACTGCAAACTACAGCGAGAGAGGACCTCAATTCTGCGTTAAACTCGGCAAATATAAAACAGAAACCTTTCAAATGATTCAACAAGCTTATGTCAGCAAGCACTGAATTCTGCTATGCATTTTATATAGCGCTCGCGCTTCAAAAATGGTAGAACATCGCTGGAACACGAGGAGAGGTAGGGCGACCTTCTCCGAAATTTCATTGTCTTCTATCGATATTCATTCTGTGAGTGCTCATTTCTTGTTGACAAACCTGAATTAGTACGACGCATTTGCAAGTTGGTATAGCAAACGTTTATGTTCAAATTAAATCATATTTTTGCGTTGTTTAGTTTGGACGTAGTAAAGTGTTTAAAACAAGCTTATATAGGAGATAACTGTGATGTTTAAATGAGTTCGTCTTGTGATATCTTGATGTCTGTTTCTTACTGTCGTTTTTCAGGTAGATGGAAGGGAAGTGGAAAAGGACATTTACCGTGATCAAAGTCAGATGGCAGCGGTATCTGTCACAGAGATAGACGGATCTGTGGAAGTGGTAAGGACAGCACATTATGGCACTTGTGAGGTTCCTTCTATAAATTGGGATTCTTGAAGTTTATGCAATACGTCGAAGTAAGTTGTATAATTAAAACAGTCATAAAGTTAGGCTTCCGAATATTATATAACGCTTTATTAGAGTTGCATTAACTTAAGTTGATGTTTTTTTTTTGTTTTTTTTTTTGTTCTATACTAAACTTGAGTTTGCGTAGAAGCTGTACTTTTTCATTCTTCTACAGGGTGCTTTCGAGCACTATTCAGATGTAAAAACTCGTGAAAATAAGTGAATAATCGAGGTAATCTTAAGCGTTTCACAAAAGTGCCTATATGTGGGTCATTTGTCATTCCGAAATTTGAAGGTTGAAGGTATGTTGAAGCAAATTGATCTCACAAATATCCCGTTATTCTTAGGCGTAAAAATAAAAACAGAAAAAAAAACATCTTTTTGCCGCTGCGCGACACATAGGATACAAAATTAAACACAACATTGAACGTTTCTCTGACATAAGCATCCCAAAGCAGATCCTTTAGATGCGAGCCTGTGTGGCTCAAGGAGTGAGTAGGAGCGTAAGCAAGAAGGTGTGTTTTCGTGTTTGTTTCTTGTGCATAAAAACAACTTGACTTTTTTGTCCTTGAGTTTTTTTTATTTATTTTTGTTGCTTACAGTTACTTAATATGTGTATGATAAATACACCGCCTAAGACACCTTTGTGGAACGTTTAGTTGCACTTTGTTCATTGAGATATTTATAAGGGAGTTTTAAGCACGAATAACGCTCGGAAAGACCACGCATCAGGGTGTCATAGCATATCTCTTCCGCACAATCTACAGAAAACGTTCAACCGCAGTTACTTTAGTTCTTCTTAACCTTCATTATATATATATATATATTTTTTAATTCCCATTTGCTTAATAAGGGTAACGTACAATAATATTACGTCGATGTTTATAACAAGTTTAAGATGGTAGTGTTGAAAACGGTGTTCCTCATCAATTAAAAATATAAACTATCTACTAAAATTACACTGCACAAAGATTAAAATGTGCAATCTGTTAAGTGGCAATTACAATCGAAAAATATAAATAATGAAAACGCGAAAAAATTCTACCGAATATATTTAGGCAAAGAGCCGGCTATTTTATGGCAAAATATCATTTGAATTGTAATTTTTTATATAATATTTGTCACAGATATGTTGACAAAAAACATGCTCCAACATTGAGAAGCGAAATATGATGTAAAGTAGTTAACAGAGTGTGCGCCATAATCTTTTATCTTAAAGAATCATTTATTTGTCAATACATAAGTGACCAAAAATACTTCGCATGATTCAATTGCTTTTCAATACAAAAACTAGCAGGCAGGAGTTTAATAAATAGTTTTCGGACCAAGAACTTTTCATAAGCCACCTCTATGTTACTCCCAGAGAGGGTCTTTGGGTCCCACTCTGAGGATTTCCCCTCTGCCACTGATGGGGCGCTCTGAAGATGGACGCATCGCACACAAAGTTTTCGAAATCGAAGATCCGGAGGAATTCAAAACTGACTACATTGGTGAGATATTGCGCTACACTTCTCATAAAAAGGATTGCTTTTTTGGCCATTGCCAGCTCATCACCGAAATATACGGCAACGGCACAAACGAGGCGCCGGTGGTTTTTTATTGTGTTCACAGCGAACAAGATGATTGAACGTTCTACTACATTTTCAAACTACCACCGAAAGAGCTTGTAGTTCACTTGAAACTAATGCAAACCGAAACATGGACGAGTGAATTCCGAAAATTACTTGACTTTTTCAGATGCCTGTAATCTAATTAAAGTATTGTGAGACAGCAACTTTTTCGCTCATTCTTTCTTATATGTAATGACAGAAGTCAACAGTGTTTTTTTTTGTGTATAATTAAACAGTGTATTTTATAATATCAATCGTAAGGTTCGCCATAGCCTGACCCTTCGCAAAAAGAACAGGAGATCGCTTCGCTCACGTGAAAGATGAAAGAGGAGATATGCTACCGGCCAGTGCGGTCATTCTCCATTCCATAACACTCGCCGTTGCCAAATGGGCTTCCAAGCATGGCTCGAGGAGTTTTCACTGCCGTGCTTTGAGTTATTATTGGGATTCTCGCTAGGATTATTGAGGGTGTTTCAGTGTTGCTGGCACCGTACGATTCTCATCGCCCGTACCGTTTTCTTCTTTTTTTTTACGGCAATGACGACATTGATTAATCTTACAGTTTTCTCCAGAATGTATGATGCTAAGTTCTTGACATCAAAATTCTTAGTGCTTATAATTAATATTTTTATCCTCTGTACCAGACTTTCCAAGTAGCTACGCAAACTGAAAGAACTGCGTTTCCCAAATCAGCTCTTGGCTTTTTGTAAGACTAATATTTAAAATAAAACAAAACAAATCAATGTTCAATTAGGCGAACTCATTATTGAAAAAACGGTATCGTACACCCCTGCCAGCGAAAAAGAACTGACTGAATGCCTACAATGGAACCCTATTTTTTTACACATTCTCAGTAGTGTATGTGAACAAACGCTAAAGTATCGCAATCAATATTGAACATTTCCAAAATCATCAACAAATGACACAAATTTCCACCCGACATGAACTGAAGCATGATTCTTCGAGCAAAAAACAACAGTAATACCAACTGCTCGAAGTTATTTTATATTTAACTTGATAAGCTTGTGATGACATTAAGAAGTCATACCTCTACGTATCTCGTATTACAGTCCCATCGGAAAGGAATATCCCGCTAAGACGACATCGTAAGTGAATTCGCTTATTAAGCGCTTATAATTTGATTTTTCTCCGTATCTAAGAAAAACCAGAGCGGATGCGACGAATAGCCTGTTTTCTCTTTTTAACTATAAAGCGTATTTACCTATAAAATATGCATATTTATCTAAAAAAGGGGGAAGCGAGAATTATTGTTCTTAATTTTAATATTATTATTATTGTCAATATTTTACGTCATTTGTGTTCCCTCTAGCAAAACTGCCAAAAGGTTACAAAAATGTACAAGATAACTGATATTGTTACTTGTTTTCATAATCTTTATTTAAAAAAATGGGTATTAATGTTATATTTATGAGTATGCAGTATTAATTTTACCTCTCTAGCGTTGTGTTAATTGAGTATTATATAAGATTTTGTGCTTGATGTTACTGTAAAGAACATCACCCAGGAGACCGATATAATTGCTTGCAGGCACAACCAAAATAAAGCATCATTATTATTATCGTGGCATACTAAATGTGATGTAAACTGTAGACTGCGCGGCCCAGTCAGGCCATGCATTATATGAGTACTTCTGTTTTATTCCTCTGATTTAGCGTAGCATAACAAACGGTGTTCCGTAAATCGATGCCATATATTCGCTCTTTCTTGTGTGAGTTTTAACGTGGTTCCGGCAGTGCGCAAATAGCCCTGAAAACGCTTCCAGTTCCAAACTATAATACCGGTTTTGCAGTATTTTCAAGGTCAAATCTGCGCGCTGTTTTCTGGAAAATGTCGGTTATCACACTTACACATAGTTTAATCTTATGGGGAAAGAATGATGTGTAAAAAGTAAGAAAATATACACGAACCGGAAGTATGCCAGGACTGCCCAAGATATGGCGCCACTGAGTTTGTTGCCATACAAAAAACAGGGTATAACCACATTTTAGTGCCGAGTAGTTTTGATGACATTTTTCAACTGTGCGAGAAAAAACTAAAATATTTTAAATAACTCATTCGCACTGCCGGTATCGCGCTCTGTACGCGTTCGTAAAATAAATGTACAATTAAAAAAAATGTGTACAGTATGACAGAATCATCTGCGTAAAGGTGGTATTTTTAAAGACAGATAAATTGCTAAAAAGCTGAAATTATGAAGAACATTTTGAGGATTTAGAACAGCCCACTACTCGATGTTTCAAAAATTAATACCTTAAGACGCAAGAAAGGATAAAATAACATGTGTTTCCGTATAAAGATGTTTCTTTTTTGCTTAAAGATGATAATGTATAAAAAGTGTCGTTTGTTCTCTGAAAGGTCGCTGGTAATCTTTGATTTGTTTGAAGGATTTACATACAGTTTGAGAAATACGGAAGACAAAAAAAAATCCAAGGTCAGGGTAGCAAAGCGGGCTCCAATTTTGTCAGGTATTCTTGGACAAATAAATCTGTTGACTCGAAGGTAACTTACGATTCGTATAGAAACCAAGGCAGTGCATATATTTCGCAAAAGATTTCTAACCCGCCACTAGTAACGAAATATCAATAAAAGACACATTATAACACCTAAAATTTATTGTGTTTCAGCATTCCGACCCCCAGTAAATATCCCCGACCTTTTCCTTGCCGAGGTGTATTTTGTTTTCGATGAACACCACAGCAAACACTTTCCCAAGGAATCGAGCCTCTTAGTATATGCCGCACTAACTATCGAAATGGTATGACTTCTTCCTTTCATAAATTATTGATAGTGTAATGTTTGTTTACTTTTCTGTGTAACACATTTCGTCTGCCCGTTTTGACGCGCGAAAGACAACACCTGAATGTAACGTTATGTAGTACATTTTTCACACCAAGTGGAGGAATCAGCGATGCAACATTTTGCAACTTTATCACTAACATTGTCAATTATATATTCCCTTCCCAATGAAAAATATCTAGCACTCGGCGCTCGCTCGCTGAGCGGATTTCTGTGCTTCTCGCGAAATGTGACCGATATCTTTGTGTGCCGTAGTAGACGTGGAGCCGGTGGAGCGTTCGCCGCGCGGCTTCATCTCCTGCGTATAAAAGTTGCTCAGAGCGCCGAGCGGTTCTAAGAAAGTTTCTGCGCTGCTTGCTCCGGAGAAGTTCGATCTGTATTCATTTGTAGCCTTTCAGTATTGGCATTTGCGTTGACGTTGTTCTCGCAGCCCCGAAAGCAACTGCACCAGCATTACTTGACGATAGAGACTTACGAGAATATCAAAGGGATGCGGTTTTCTTACAATCCTCGTTAAAAGCAGCTCGAAGGTTGGCGATGCGATACAACACTATGCCGCGGTGTCAACGTCCCCTCCGAATAGCCGGTGTTGCAATCAAGATATGTAAAAAGCACCTCGTATATGGTGTTGTAGTTATTATTCCGAGGGAAGTGGAAGTCGATCCGTTGCCTCGTAAATTATGGCAGTAAATACGAGCTGCGCCCGTTCAGCACGACGACGTTCGCGCTGTACAAGGGGCTGGTGAGGCTTCGGGGGGCGGGAGTGGTAGAGGAACAGCTAGAACAGCACCGTAGCAGCGGCGGTGGGAGCCACGCAGCGGGAATGCCAGCGGCAGCGAGCAGAGCAGCTCCTTCAAATACATTGTGTGCCCCTCTGAGCAGTCGCTCGGTCGCTACACCACCGAGACCGGATGCTCCGACTTACAAATCTGCGAGCACTCGCTATTTTCAAGAGGAATGGGATTATTAGTAATAACGTCCTGCCCAAGACGAAGCGAAATTTGAAATGTCGCTTGCCTTGACAGCGATCACATGAACGAAAACCCATTCGAAACATTTTCCAAGTTTAATTTTAGGTGCAGACTTACTAGGAATATTTTACTTTTCACGTCGAGCAGAAACACGTGAATGTCACACTTGAATGTAAACAAAACCTTTTCTTGCTGTTTAATATACAAGCCCTCTTAGTCGCGCGAAACTCAGCTATGATCCACCAAACACTGAAATTCCATGAAGTAGAAGCATATGGGAGCTCTGACTCGCTTTACGGCCATATTAATTTATGTCTTTGAAAATATGTTAACTTTAGTATTTTCAGCGTTTTCTACCTCAATTACCTGTTTGAATTAGATATTAAAAATTACAGGAGGACGCTTAAGCTTCGCCTTTAAGAGGGGAACGCAATAGCTAGACATACGAACCCCCCCTTGTTCCCAAGCCGTGCCAGCGCGCCTGCGTGGCCTAGTCGGTAGCGTGTCTGGCAACCACCCCAAGGGTCCTAGTTTCGAATCATAGCTCGGCCTAAACTTTTCTCATTTTTTAAGGCAAATGTACTACTTTACAAAGTGAAATCATTTGACACATGCGGCGAACTTTCAATCGCATTACCATGTCATGTTTCAATCACTTCCATTCCACGCGTGAAGTCGCGTTTCACGCGAATGTTGTGGTTTGTTTAAGTTTCTGCGCGAGGTCATGTGGCTGTGACGTCATGACCCTATCGACCAATCAGGAATTTCCTGCTCCATCAGTGCCGGCTTTTCTGCGAAACGAGCTTCTTAGCGCTATCGCGTTAAAAAACTTCTTGCCGGAGAGGCGTATAAATATACAAAATTTGTTCATAAGAAATACGCGCTATATATGTGCAGGCTAGAAAAAAAGAAACTCATAGAAAATGCGAAAGAGTTGACATTTCCCCGTAGTCATTCCGATATGTCATTTTCTTATGTGTGTATTTTTTATGGTTCCCGGTGCTCGCATAAAATAGTTTAAACAAACATTTTTTTTTCAGGGAAGGGGGGTGGGGTGATGCCTTATATCATAGCCTCCTCTAAATGGAGAAAGCCTGGCACGTCGCGAGAAGAGGCGGCCACCGTAAATGGGAAAGGATGGGCGGAGAATCGGGGGCGGAGGGATGGATGGATGGATGGATGAATACGGCTGAGCCCTTTGGATCGGGCGGTAGCTTACGCCACCTAGCCATTTTGTTTTACTATTTAAGCTTAGAATATTTAAATGTGAAATCTATATTCACTCCGCAGTGCAAAGAAAGTGAGGCTATGAAACTTCTTGCCATCAGTGAATAAGAAAATACCTAGTTTTCTCTCGATTTCTGCCACCATTCACATAATCTTTGCTTGGTAATCTCTACAGTCTTGAAATCCACTCTCCCTTCGCTGTCTCTAAAACCCAATAACTTTATTAAATCTATGTTGTCTTCGGTAGGCATAGGGTGAAGCCCTTTACAGTAGAGTATCAAGTGCTCAGCCGTCTCGTCCTCCTCTCCACAAGCAGTGCACACTGTATCAATTTCCTGGTACTTCACTCTGTATGTTCTGGTTCGCAGAACACCCGTTCTTCCCTCAAACAGCAATGAGCTTCCCCTAGAATTGTCATAAATGCTTTCTTTGGCAATAACTGTTTTGTTTAATCTATAGCTTTCCAGAGCCGTCTTTGTCTGCATTCCCTCTAGCCAGCGAGCTCTTTCTGTGGCCTTAACTTTCTCCTTAACTGAGACTTTCTCTTCCGTATCTTCGCTATAGCCCAAAAACTTTCCTCTTAATTTCCTAGTGCGCTGTCTCCACTTTGTGTCTACACTCCTCATGTATAAATAGCTGAAAACCTTTCGTGCCCATTGCTCCCCCTCCATTTGCCTCAACCTATCCTCAAATTCTACCTTGCTCACCGCTTCCCTGCTCTCAAATGATGCCTATCCCATGTCTCCTTGTACTCCCTGGTTTGGCGTTTTGCAATGTGCCCCCAAAGCCAGTCTACCTACTCCGCGCTGTTTTATTTCTAGTCTCGCATGCACTTCGGATTTCATGCATAGCACTGCGTTTCCAAAAGTCAAGCCAGGCACCATGACCCCCCCCCAAATCTCTCTCACCACCTCATACCTGTTGTAATTCCAAAGTGCTCTATTTTTCATTACAGCTGCATTTCTGTTGCCCTTACCTATTATATACTTTTCATGGTCTCTGAGATATTCTGCACCATCACATATCCATACTCCGAGATACTTGTATTTACTAGCTCTCTCAACTGTAATATTCTGTATCTTCAGCCTCTCAACTTCATCCTCGTTAAAAATCATGACTGCCAATTTTTCGCTACTGAATTCTAAACCTAATTCCTCTCCTTCCCTACCACAGATGCTCATTAATTCCTGCAACTCTGTCCTGTTGTTAGCCATTAGTACAATATCATCCGCATACATCAATCCTGGTAAGGATTGCTGAATTTTTTGGCCTAGCTTACTGTAAGAAAGGTTGAACCCAAGCCCACTGTTCTCTAGTCTATCCTCCAATCCTCTCGGATACAACATAAACAGCAAAGGCGATGACGGGCACCCCTGCCTAAGGCCTCGCCTTGTCTCTATTTCCCTGTCGCCTTTCCTTCCCATGTTATAATCACCTTGTTATCTTTGTAAATGTTCCTTAATAGTGCTGTTAGTCCTTCATCTAGGTTTAAGTTCTCCATTATGTCCCACAGGTTTCTCTGGTTCACATTGTCATAGGCACCCTTGATATCCAGAAATGCCAGCCAGAGCTGTCTGTTTTCTTTTTGCGCTATTTCTATACACTGTGTTAGAGAAAAGAAATTGTCCTCCAACCTTCTTTGTTTTCGAAACCAGTTCTGTAACTCGCCCAGTATGCCCTCGCAATCTACCCATTCCTCCAGTCTGTTCTTTATAATCTGCATTACCAACCTGTAAATAACCGGTGTCATGGTTATAGGACGATAATTCCTAATATCAGACTTATCTCCCTTTCCCTTATATATCATACTCATCCTACTAAGCCTCCATTCATCTGGAATATTTCCTTTTGTTATCATGGTACTCACTACCTCCCTTAGTTTTGCCTTAGATTTAGGACCCAAATTCTGCACCAGCTTGATAGGGATACCATCCGTGCCTGTCGATGTGCCACTAGGGACTCTTCGTTCCGCCTTTTCCCATTCTCTTTGTCCAAAATCCGCGATGTCACAAACTGGACTGCTACTTCCTTCGGTTCTCCTATCTTCCACATGTAACCGTTCCCGAAATTTCTCCTCCATCACTGCTCCTATATACTGTATCGCATCATCTCCCTCTAATTGATCTCCCTGATGCGAGAGTATGAGCCTCTGTCTAGCTTGCGTTGTTTCACCGAGTGAGTTCAAGTGCTCCCAAAACTTCTTGGCAGCGTTTCTATCTTTCTTACTTACATTACTCATCCATTCCTCACCCTTTCTCTGAATTTTCGCATTGATCAAACTGAATGCCTCTCGGCGACATGTTATAAAATTGTCCCATTTTCTTTTTACTTCCGTTTCGGACTCCCCACTACGCTTGGAATACCTGTGTTCTCTAGAGGCTCCCTGACGTTTTTGTATCGCTTGCTTCACTTCTTTGTCCCACCAACTTTTTGGCCTATGTCCTTGCTTCCCCTTTCGTTTACTCTTAACTTTGTCTAGTTCTAGAGCAAAAAGCCTAGTTAGGCTCTCATAGGTTCAATCTGTATGCCGTTGCCCTGAAACTGCTGCCTCTATTCTTTCAACAACTATTTCCAACTCTTTGTCGCTGCAGAAAGTTTGCTTTGAATTATGTTGTCTAGTTTCAGCATTTACTTCTCTGGCAAAATTCAGCTTAATACGTTTGTGATCACTACCAAGACTTTTGGAACCTTCTTCATCTATTTTCATTACTTCTAACTTACCATATATTTTGTGTGACATGAGTACGTAATCTATAGTTGAAAGCAGATTGCCAGTTTCCCAAGTTATGTGCCCGTCACACTTCTGACTGGTATTACATAAAACTAAGTCATGTTTTTCCACCAGTTCTAGTAATATGCTTCCAGTTGAGTCCGTATACCCATCCAGACCCTCAATATGGGCATTCATGTCTCCCATAATAATTATTTCGGAGCCTTCCCCTAGTTCACTAATGCCTCTTGATATGCAATCAATCATTTTTCTGTTTTCCTCTTTAGCACCTGTGCCTGTCGATAAGTAAACCACTCCAAGGACTGTTGATTCCCCAGCGACTTTTCCTTTCAGCCACAAATGTTTGGCGCACTCCTTTCTGATCCTTTGAAAGTTCATATTCTTCTTAATAAATGCTCCAATTCCACCTCCCTTCCTCGTTCCCTCCATTCTGTTGCATTCTTCCCACACATAGTCAGGGTTGCAAGGTGGCTGCTCCATGTCTCTGAGATGTGTTTCCACAAACCCATACACCATTAAATCCTCCTTTCTTAGTTGCTCCTCTACCTCTTCCCATTTTAACCTATTCCTACCACCCTGCATGTTAATATATCCAATGTCTGATTGTGCTGTTTTTTTTTATACCTGTTCTTACGTTTTCTCCTATTTTTAACCCTGGGTGCCTCTCCTGACTTCGTTGGGTTTTCAATTACTTCAGTGCCCCCAGGGCCCTCGGTCCCCCCAAAAAAACAGTCACCGTGCGGCCCATCCTATCCCCCACCCTGTAACCCGTGGCCTCACTGTAGTGAATGCCATCTGCAAAAGGGCGGGAAGATTGCCTGCTAGCACCACAAAAGAGCGAACGGCCAAACACAGAAACACTCTTTTATTTTTTCCTCTTTTCTTTGCGGTATTGTGGAGAGGAGAAACTCCGCAACAGTCCTTGAACGATCGCGGCCGTCGGTTTCGTTTAGTCAAAACTGTGCATGGTTCTTGCGCTGCACGATACGAATATCCGACGACGACCCACTCCGCCGGCATGCCGACCACTCCAACCACTCCGCCGACACCGCCGCATAGTGCATTGTTACCAGCGCCCTTTCGAATCACCGCAGCCGTCTCTCCCGCAGCACGAAAACGACGGTGACGAAAACACGAAAACAAACTTGATTCGGGGAGCGGCCGCTCATGACCCAAGCGCTCGCACCCTATCTTTGCCTTTTCTGCTCTGTGCTACCATATTTGTCACCGTTCTGCGAGCTCCTCCTCTCATTTTTGCTGGGGCCGCGTGCCCTATGGCTCCGTCGTCGATGTGCCAGGCTTTCTCCGTATAGAGGAGACTATGCTTATACTTACGGGCATCCCTTTCCCCGACTACGCATCTGCTTACTAACCTGAAATACGTTTTAATTTTTTCTATACTTTCAAGATAAACCTAAGATACGAAGCTATGACGAATCCACGGGTTCGCTTTGTTCTGGTTGGTGTTGCTACGATGACAGGGGTATGTGACATTTTATAAGTTTCTCTGAACTATTCTCGGTTCTTTCTGCGTTGCCGAGAGACTGCTTACGCAATATCATGTTTTTCTTTCTCCAGGTGAACGGTATTACGGAAGAAGTAGTGGATCGAGATGATTTGAGGCCAAATACTCACAAGAAAAAATACATGCTCTCTCAGAAAACACTAACGAATCTTGCGAATGCTGTTTCCACCAATAAGTTCAGAGCTATTGCAGACGTCACCGTCTTGGTTACAGGGTAAGAGCAATCAGTTGATACGCACTAATTGAAATTAGAACTAAATTTTAGTGATTTGGCAAACCAGATACAATTTTAAGACATACAACGTTGGGTTAACCTTGAAGAAACAGATGTTCGCTTTTATCAAAACGTTTCGAGCTGTTTATCACAAACTGTTCTTAATTAAGTAATGAGTTAAGTATTTCTCGATAAGCTCTGGAACTTTCCAATTCACACTAGCTCTTAAAAAGTACTTAAAAAGTGAACTAATTAGTCTTAACTAATTAAACAAAAAGGTGCACTAAAAACTTCGTGGACTTTCATAAGACGCATACTAACAACGTGCAGTTGGTTTCACTCCAGCAATGCGCTCCGTTATTTTATTATTTTTAAGGGTATTTCGGGGACATCTTGCGTTTGTTTATATACAGCGGTCATGGCCGATAACGTATTTAAAGTGACACTGATATGAACAAGCAAGTTTTTTTTTTTTTTATGTCCTAGATAGGACACACTCTTTTTTTATATTTTTGGCAAAAACAAGATTGGGTGGATTTATATTTATGCTTTTAAACACATTTTAGGTTGGGGTAGCCCTGCTCTAGTTACGCCCCGCTCGGTGCTTAGATAACCAAGTACCTTTTCTTGGCTCTCAACGGTTTGAGTGATAATTGACGTGTAAAATGTTCGGTGAAAAAATTGTTTTTTCATGCCGTAATGGTATTTTTATCGGCAATATGTTTATGCTTGAGAAAAAAAAAGGCTAGATAGAGCCATTATTGTTTGCTAAAATATCCCGAGATCGCCTTCCCCCTTATCTTTCAAAAGATAACAAACATGGCCGTCGGTATTTGCGGTGCGCTCAAGGAGCGCAGCTTGTTGAGCTCGTTCATTATTATGAGTGCGAGTCGTTCTGAGTTCACCGACGTATTTAGCCAAAGATCTTCTCAACCGCCCTAGTTTCCAGAAAACAACTGTCGCAAGTACTCGCCTTTCGTCGCGCTCTGCAGGTGCTTGGGTTCGCAGCGGGACTTGCCTAGGCCTAATGTCCCACGTAAACTATGTTGCTTGACCTGGTTTGATTTGTTCCTTTGCGCGCGTTGGTGTAGATAAAGCTGTTGGTTCTCCTAAAAGCGGCCCCGCTGCTATGTGTATTGTGCAACCATTGCGATTGCAACCATGGTCTAATACCGAGAAGATACCTACAGGGGCTAGAATTTGCGAGCCATTTGGCTCGCAAATTCTAGCCCCTGTAGGCTCCAATGGGGTGTTTGGCTTGCATCAAGTTCGTTTATGTATGTTCCCGTCACTTCGCTTTGAAAGGCAGTAAGCTCTCAAGTTTCGCACTCGAGCTGGCCAGCAAAAGCGAATACTTTTACGTAACGTTTTAATTGTACCTCATGACGCTCACCCACCTTGCTCATGGACGCCATGCGAAAACTAACAAGAAAAGTAAAACTGGAAGGACTGCATAATTATTTACCTAATTTTTTTTATTATTATTCCTCTCGATCGCTTATTACCGCACATCGACAGATGCTGACAGACGCTTGCATTGGACCCTGGCTTGTGCATAATGGAACGCTAGAACGCCACTTTCGTAGTCGCGTCTTCCGAGCGTTGCAGAAGTTCTTAGACAGGGGCGATAGCAGACGGACGAAGGCGAAAACGGACGCCGACGCGCGGATTTATGTCCGCGTCTTACGGGCATTGCGGACGACGATAGACGGTGGTGGAATAGCAGATGATGCCAGAGGCTGTCGCGCCTCTGCTCTCACAACTAGCAGGTGTTGTCACATGCCAGACTAGACGCACCGCATGTCGCGTAGGGGAGACTCCAGGCTTCTTAGCGTGTTCGGCCGACCAGCCGAGCTAAGCCAATATAAATGGATGGGGCCACTGATCTGTGGGTGGGTGGGGCAAGAGCTGGCCGTGACCTTCACCTAAATTGCGTCCTACAAAATAAATATTACTCGAAAATAACTTCGTGTATAATGTACCAAAAACGATATCTCTTCCAAATATGTATGTCCTTTAAAAATATATATATATATATTTTTTTTTTCATTTTGATGTTTCTTAATAAACCAATCGAACTTCTTGCTCTTTCATTCGATCTTTGAATACTTATAGGCTTATGCGGAAATCGTATTGGCTATGGAGAGAAAATTAGTTGCTCGGAGACTGGCCACGCCCGGCGTGTTTTCAGCGGACAGTGACAATTCACAACTCCATGAACAGGAGACGCCACCGAGCGCAAAAGATGTCAAACAAAAAGGGTGGTTCATTTTTTGCCCACAATATTCGAAAAGGTGAAAGTATGAATGTGCACTTTCGCGAAATGCGGGCGGAATGGTGTCTTGACGCATATGAGGACGCTACGTGGCAACACCATTTTGTCCGCATTTCGCGAAACTACTACAGTTATCGCTTTTACTTTTACGCACATTGACGGAAACATTCGGCCCGGCGCAAACAAAGACGCAGGTTTTCCCAGTGTTGTTGAGAGGTGAGGGGAAGATAGAATTTGACGTTCAGCGATGAGCGGAGCAAAAGGCGCAAGTAGAAAAAAGAGGCGAAGCTCTGGGCGGGAAGGAGAGTGAAAGGCGTCGCGTTTTGGCAAAACACGTTTCACGTTTCAAGTTCCGTTCGAGAAGTAGAGATGTTTTTGAGAAATCGAACGCGGTGGAAGTTTCTAAAACACTGCAAGATTACGCGTAGCAACTGGATACAGCCAAAGTAGGATTTTGTATAACGCGAGCAATGTTTGAAAACAAATGAGCCGGCTTGCTAGAACAATGTCTCAGCTGAAACTAGGTGAAAGAAAGCACCGCAAAGGCTGGGGAAAGGGAAAGCGAGCTTCTTGAGAGGCAGTTCGAGTCCGGATCAGCTCGTGAAATGGCTTTGGCAGTACTTTCTTTCCCATCGTCTCAGCTGACACGCTGTTTCTAGCAGACCGGCCCTGTTTTGAAGCTATCGTTAGCCGACGACTCTTCCTCATCGTCGCGCCGTCATCGGCGGGTCATCGGAGCACTCCCTTCTTCTCTCTTCGCGCGGCGCAGCTAATGGAAACTTCCGACATCTTTCCTCTCGCGCAATGTGGGGAGGGACGAAGTGCTTCTCCATCTCCGCTGCGAACACAGACTGCATACGCCGACGCCGAAATCCGTGCCTAGTGTCTCCGGTAAAGCTATCACACTAAAAAGCGTGATGTTGCGGCTTAGTCTTTAGTCCAGTGTGCCTAGATTGACGAGGGTTTCAAACTGCTCGATCGGTATCACGTGGTTCATGGGCCGTGTTTGCCATACGAAAAGAGATAACTGGAGCATCGATCGTCTGAAAGCGTCTCCGCCTCGCCTTCCACATTCCTTTTTGCGTCGCCAAAACAAAAGGCATTCGCTCTTACGAAGAATCAGCGCAGGAGGCGTCCGCCATTAAAGTGCAAACGATATCGATGACTCTCCATATGCGTTCAGCGCAAGCGGCGCCGGCCTGGTGGCTGAAGTGACAGGGAGTCGCGAAGGGATTAAATACACGCCGAGATGTGAGCTCAGGGCAATAGTTGGCTATTGCCCTGAGCTCACACGCAAAAAAAGGAAGCTCCATGTGTGTTTCAAAATATATAATGATTAGAATTTTTTTTTTCCAGGTTGGACCTTGCAGATTATGAAAATGGAAAGCTTTCTAACAGCGTCTTGGGTAAGAGCAGACCTTTACCGTGTATGAGGCATTTTTACTGAACACAATGTGAATATTTCTGTAATTTCTATTACTTTCCTTCTAGTCACTTCTCTGCTATCTGTATATGTCATTTGATCCCCCTCATGTAATGCATTTCATCTGAAATGCCTTTGAGGTACAATAAACTGAACTAAATTGAACTGAACTTGAGTTTGAACTCAGAACTTCTCATGTGGTCTCCGTGTTGTAATAACATTTTTCTTATCATTTGAATTAGACTGAAGAAACGTGAAATTTGCCGCGTCGAAACCACAGTTCTAGCCGCGTGTAAACGGGCACCCCGCGATAGGTTAGAAGTACTAGCGGTCTTCGCGAAGTTAGATGGATATGTTCTAGGCCGCATCCAGGATAAATATTAAGTTGTCTTCTGGTCCCAACAGAGATTATATATATATATATATAGATATATATATATATATATAATAATAAATCGAACAACCAAACATAGGAACTGTTATATGTTTCTTGTACATGTGCGCTAACTTGCCTTCCACCAATCAGCCTGCTGTTGTGGCATAAATGTTCTAAAAGGCTTGGGGCAGTAATTGTTTGGGCTCACGCCGCGTGGTATAATATACATCTGTCACGACCCCAGAACCAGGTTGCACTTCAAACAGAAAGGAGTTTAATTGCAAAAGGGACAAAGGCATCCAAATTCATGAGAAACACCAATGTGTGTTTCTCCGTCGTGAGGTTGCCGTCCGAACATGGGCAAAAAAAGAACAAAATTTCACTTTCTCGAACAGCGCACACACCGATCATCGTTTCTAATCATAACTATCCAATCGACAAGTCTCCGCCTGCACTGAGACACTGGACTTGACGATAGAGTGATTCCTTTTGTTTTCGATTTTTATTCCTTGAAGTTTGAGAGGGGTAAAAATGATGCTGATTCTGTGGTGCATTGCTGCAGATTACATCAATCGCGATTGCATTTCGTTGTTGTTGTTGGTTTTTTGTTATGAAGGCCATATTCTCCTGATTTTAATGGAGACGAACCTCGCTTCCTCGTTTGGTGATTGGTTGTAGCAATTGGTCATAGTCTCTCCCTAGCCAAACGCTATTGTCCTTGGAGACGTTGAGAATGCCACCTTTTTCTTGATAGGCAGTGGGAAAATGACAAGAACGCTAACTGTAGGCGTGTCTTCCACCCTAGGATGGATACATGAATGATTTATATTGACTGTACTTTTTGTACCGGGCAGTAGATTGCACCACCTAGCGTGGAATTATTTACGCCCCTCCGCTTTAAATTTTCTTATAAATGTCGTCTCGTTAAATCCTCTAAAATAATTAGGGTGGTGTGGATATTTACACAGCGTCTAGTTGGTCAGCCATTTCAAAGTTGCGACGAGTCACTCGCTGTAGGTGAGCGATTTAGCGAGTGCAGTACAACCGCTAGCCTGGGATCTTTAACGTGCACCACGCAGTAGTGATACACGACCGCACGCCGGTACGATACTCACCTAGATCGAAGCAGGCAGGTGTGGGGATGGAACCCAGGATCCCTGGGTTCTGCAGCGCGAGCTTTTGCTCCATGTGCTCCGAGCTGGTCTTCGATAGCCAGTTTCAGATGGGCTATGTGTGGATGGTGACGGTGGCTGGCTCCGAAGCCATAGAAAAGTTGCAAACCGCGAAAGAACAGAGCGTAAATAGAAAAGAAAAAAACTTTTAATTATCGACACGAAGTTAAAGGATGCGATTCCCAAGCTACTTTGGCTACTTTTATACCGAGAAGACAAAAAGGTCGTCGAAACCTAGCACTTTTCGACACGGTTCAAAGCATAGCGCCAGGAAGGTGGCGCGTGCCTGATTTGAGGAACGTGGACACGCTCTATAGGAACGTCCGTCTAGCATGGTGACGGTGACGTCGGCATGTCACGGCGACGTCGGAAGACATTCCTCACCTACTCCAGGTGTACGGCTGTTGCGACCGAGGAGTTCCACAGGGTGGATCAACCAGGGCCAGGCCAAGACGGGTACCAAAAGGCGACTCAAGGCAGGAATATGAGAACACGGAAGGGTTTCTCACGATAAACTCTATTTACTACATGTGTATAGAACTATTTACATAGTATTCTTTGTTGAAGTGTAGGCACAGTCCGTCGTGCTTTCTAGTAATTGCTGTCACCGTACAAGAAACAGTTTGCAAGTTCATTGCTATTATCTTTCGAATTTGTTATAAAGAAGTGTTTAGTACGCATAAGCTATGTCAATACTATTTGCAGGTGTTGCCTTTCTTGGAGGAATGTGCAGCGTAAATCTGCGAGCCGCCGAAACAGAAGACACACCTGGTACACACAGCATGGTCTCCATTTTAGTGCATGAACTCGGGCACTCGTAAGTACTCGCATGACCAGTCAATCTCCAAACAACAAAATAATGCCAGTTCTTAACCAGCTTGCCACACCCGTGCATTAAGTGCGTGCTCTCAGTTTTTTTTTTTCGGAAAAAATGTGATCATTGACGGCTATCATCCTTTACAATATACGGGATTTCTGACACTAAAATGTTTTACATAAACAGAGTCATGTCTCGTTTATATGGACACCGTCAATATGGGTACCCCGCTATGTGGACACCATTTTTGGGGACAAATTGGGGAAAAAACATGTATTTTTGTTTCGTTATTTTGGGCAACTCGCATTATGGACGATGTTTCGTGGCTACGGAAGTGTTCATATTAACGAGACATCACTACATCAGGAGTGTAGAATATCAAAATGAAAGGAAGTTCTGTAAATTATACAGTCGCTGATAGCCTACACAAAATATAGCCTTGTAACTTTTGATTATTTATTTATCCGCGAGTCAGTGAACAGGCAGTGAAAACGCACTATGGCTACACGCCGGTCCCAGTTGCCAAAAACACGCCTGGAGCGCCCTTCTTTACGTTCTGAGGAACCTGATGATGCGGATGCCGCATTCCCTTTGTGTCGGGCGAGCTAAAAAAATGTACCCTAGCCAAAACTAAAAATAAACCTAAAATGTTTATCTTCCACTCTCGAGAATCTTTTGCTACAAGTTTTGCATTCACGTCTTCGTTGTCCTTCATATCATTCACTGAAGCGGCTGTGCTGGTCATGCAGCGGTTCCCCCAGACTCCGTCTGTTGTATTTCTTGAGTGTAGCGTCCTTATCGTAAAACCCAGGGCGTCTTGTAGCGCTATTTCGGGTCAAAGCTGAAGGGGGTCCATCGGGCGCGGCAGCCGGCGCTCACAAAAAAGTGCTAGGTATTCCGGTGTCTCTGTTCTCTCTCCGCACGCCCGACACACCGTGGACTCCGCCTTGGGGTTGAAGAATATGCGGTACGACAGATACCTTCTTCTAAAATTCCTGTACAGCCAAACCCGTTTATAACCAACAGCAGGAACGCCACGATCAGTTCGATATAGCAAGTAATTCGATATACTAAAAACTATTTATAATGAACTTCCACGATGCGTTCGTTGTAAGGCGAGAACTTCTTTTTGGTTCTCATCTCTTCGCTTCCGCCTTGTAACAACGCGCTGCAAAGTTTTTTTTTTTTTTTTTTTTTTTTTTTTTTTTTACGTCGTGCAGAGTGTGTGTCTTTCGATTATGTGCCGTTCTGAATCGCTTCCTTTCGTAGGCAATATTTTAAGATAAAGTTGTTGTTTTTTTCTTGTTTTTTTTGTTCTTTGCTGTGCGTGCGTGCAAAGAGTATGTTTTAGCTTTCTCCTTCTTCGGGTTTGCTTTTCTTCGCTCAATTTTGTTCGCAACTTCAGCCTTTGGAATTTTCTTTCCTACTTTTTTTTTTGGTGAAAGGAACAGGCTAAAAGACGAATTTTTGCGCGTTTTTGGAAGCCTTCCCGGGGAAAAAAGTTCGATATAGCCAATAGGTTGTTTTTTAGACAAAGTACTCTTTACATGCTTTTTTATTTAAATTATTTTATGAGTTCGATATCGATAATAATTGTCCGTACGTGGGATCGTTCTAAACGGGTTTCATTGTATAGGATCCCTACGGGAGCCAGAGGACGCTGGCTCCCTACGAACGCTGGCTCCCTATGGGAGCCAGCGTTCGTCCCCGTAGCGCCGGATTTCCTGTACAGCCCGGGATTCTGCTCGCGGAATTCGGCGAATAGCGGCGGCGCCGCGACGCCGCCCTTTCTTTTCCTTTCCTGGGAAACAGAAAAGGAGAAGGATGCAAAAGCAGGGACACATAGGCCGGGGCACGTGCAACGTCGGCAAAAGAGACGTATCGGTGGCTTTCCTTTACGGCATTTGGATTTTGCTTCTTACGTGACCGTTCTGGGCGAAAAGCGCCTGGGCGGCACCTGCAAAAAGACGCGCCACTCTGCCTCCCGTAGGGAGCCTATACAGGACCTGTACCTTTTTGGAGTAATGAACGCCGTCTGGGAGGGTCGTCTGCCTACCACTAATGAAGGGCAGCCCTTCGTGCCTCCGCCCGTCAGAATATATTGGGATCGTGTAGTTGTTTTGGTGCGAAAAGAAAAAAAAGGGTCAATAAACAAACAAAATACACCCAAAGAGGTCGACAACGTTGTTCGTGAAATATGGTGCCCTTTGAAAATGAAACAATGGGAAACGAGGCCAAGAGAGAAGGTATAAGGATGCACAGCGGCTTACTGGAAAAATTAAAAAGTCCATTCAGCATTCTTTTTTTTTTTTTGCCAAAGCAGGTTCTCTTTGCCGGTCTGCTTGTATCACCAGAGCGGTTACGCATTATATGAGCAGGGTACACAAGACTTGTACTTTAGAACATTCGTATTGTTTGCCAGGAACTGCCAACTTAAAAGTTATCGATTCGGCAGGGTTGAGTTTTGGAGTTATACCTTAGAAGTCAACTCTCCCGAACCAATTACTAGTCCGCTTCTCTAGCTTTATCAAGATAAAGTTTAAAGCTAAAGCTAAATTACAAATGTATTTTTTTAAAGAGCACCACTACCTTAAAACTTTGTATAATATAATATAATATAATATAATATAATATAATATATATATAGCAGGCCATTATGGACGCGTTCTGACACAATACGTGGGCGTACATGCTGCCCGCTTTAGGCATTTCACGAGCACGAGATTTAACAAATACTGCTTTTTAAACTTCCTCGGCAGACTTGGAATGGTACATGATGGAGAAAAGCCTCTGTATAGCACTGATGCATACCGGAATCGTGTATGCGACGCACGTGATGGCTACACAATGGCACCAGTTGCACACGGCGCTCGAAATGGAGAATGGTCTACGTGCTCCGTGGAACACTTGCGTGGGTTCCTTAGGTATGACTTTTATATTATTCGACTTTATTCTTCCGCCCTACCTCTCAGCCTCATCGTAGACACGCCCATTGTACTAAGCAACTGAAATTTAAAAATAATGATCTTTCAAGGATTAATGATGTTTTTGAGAGCTTAACAAATATGGTAAAAAAAAGTTAAACCTACACTTATACGATTTGTGCAGGTGAGTTTGCGACCAGGGAAACATTGTATACGTGGTTAATCGCAGCGATCAGTTGGACAATAAGGCACCATTTGTTAGTTAACTTCTAAACAGTGAAAATAAACGCATGGTTTCATTTAAAATCATGCTGAGAGTCATCAAAAACCACTAGATTAATATTTCTTAGAAATGCGTTGAGCACGTGACAAGCGCACTAGTGCGCTAAAGTTACCACTCGTGAAGCAGGAGCAAGGCTACTGGTGCGATGACGGGCCCGCGCGACTTTTCCGTCTCTGAGCGTAGCTCCGGCTAATTGTACCTGCTGCACGAGTGGTACCTCTAGCGCATTATTACGCCATTTTACTTCTAACAATTATTGATTTTCGTTATCGCTCACCACGTTTCAAATTGCAACCATTTGTCTTTTTAGAGCGTAGCTCTTAGGCGCCCTCTTCCGGCTTAAGCGTCGTCGCCGTCGGCGTAACAGCGCGGTGCACCGCGCGAGCCCTCCCCCGGGTCACGTGACCTAGGGCGTCAAGTCACCCCTCCCCAGGTCACGTGACCCTCTCCCCCCAAGGTCACGTAACCCCTCCCCTCCCCCGGAGGAGATTCAAGGATGAGGAGAGGACGAGGATAAGGAGGTGAGGAGGAGGAAGGAGGGTATACCTTCCTTTCAGTAGCCTTCGACCCTCCTCCTCAAGACCTGCGCTCTAATTCGTCGTTACAGGGAGTTGTTAACGGCTTTCACTTTTTCACTCACGAAAAATTTAATTAACTTTTTTTATACTTAATTAGCCCACTGATCGTTACGATTAGCCCCGTATACTATGCCCCCCTATACTCTGTATAACCCACCTGCACAAAGCAGATAATACCCCTGTTACAGGGGCACACTTAACCGCGGTTAACTCAGCTTTACTGCTGTTGCGCGGCACCAAAGATACCGGACTATACTCTCGGACAGATGCTCAAGATGCTCAACCGCACGTTCGCCCATAGCTTTGACTGCATAGCCGCAGAATGTTGTCCGCAAGTACTGTGCGCTATCTGTGGCTTAGCGTAACCGCAGTTAAATGTGCCCGTGTAACAAAGGTATTAGTGTAGCTTCTCGCTTTCCATTTTTGGTTTGGAGACGCCTTTAGTCTCGGGCCACTCATGGGGTTTGTTGAGCTACCGGACCAGGGCTGCGCTAGCAGACTATAAATAATATCATTCAGTCGTCTTGTGTTCTTTCCATAACCATGCAAATAATTAGTCGCGACAGTTTGTTTGCTGCTCGAACTTAACTCGCTGTGAAAATTGCGTCGCAAAAGTGTGAACCTATGAGCGTGTTTTTATTCTTGTATATTTTTTTTTTATGTTTCTCGGAATACCACGGTAAATTTGTTCAATGAAATACCCCCCGTGAGATGCTGGAGTAACACCGCCAACATGCTGCCTCACTAAAAATTAAAAAAAAAATCTTTCAAACCAGTACTCATTATACTGTAAAATGCGGCACTGATACCAAATCGTGTGTCCGCAATCACTATAGCATAGGAACCCATGTCACGGCCGGCAAAAGGCGCGCTAGTCCACGACACTTAATAAAATCAAAGCCAGCAAACATTCTCCCCTTCCTCGATGAACTCCGCGAGAGGACCGAGGTCCGATGCTAATCAACCTTCGATGCGCTGATTGTGCGCAAGACCCAGCCCGACGCAGACGCAACGCCGGTCACTAATAAAATCACATGCGCTCACGTGACACCGCGTATAACCGGCACGCTAAACTCTCCTTCCAGGCGTCGACTGCACGACGCAGTTTTAGAGCGAAGGAGGCAACGAGGAGGAACTTGTTAGCATTTTGAAAATTGAATCTCGTAGCGTTACCAAATACTGTGAGGATGTTATCAACTTCGTCGTCGAAAGCGAAGATTTAGCTCATAAAAGTGTCACACTGGTCGTGCTAACGAACGCGCCCGCCCTCTCGCGCTTGTGGATGAGCATCGGAGGACAGGGTTAAATCACTGGCTCTGTGCTTGCGTCCTACGCCTGATCGTTTTCCATATGAAATGGTGTTACGCCACGCAGGGTAGCTTAGTCGCGTCGCAACGACGTCATCTCCGTCGATCAGTAGCGAGCTGCGCTGCATCCTCTCACACCTGAAGCAGACGAACTAGTTTCTCGACAGCTCAGTGAGAAGGAGCACGCGCAGTACGCCAGTGGTCGGAACATGTCTTGCATTTTTGTTGGTCATTGAATATAGACCTTTGGAAAAAAATAGAGCTGCTGTGGCCAATTCCATTGTCAGTGTTTGTGCGTGTGGCGCGCGATTTGCTCGTATCCCAAAGCGACAAACTTGCGCCTGCTGGGCTGGGACGATCAAACGCTGAGCTGAGGAATTGTAAATATTAAAATGGTGTATAAGTAATGTTATTTTTTTTTTCAGGACTGTAGGACAGGCTTGCTTTGATACGTTGTCAGCGATACACTACACGATAAACATGACACGACTTCCGGGGGCACACATTACAAAGCAGAAATTGTGTGAGAGAACGTACTCAAACTTCACTGGCATGACCGTTCATCCCGTAAGTTCCGCCTGTTTAAGCGAGTCTTCATAAGGCTAAGCTACACAGAAAACATTACATTAGGGCTCGGCAACCGCGACGAATATATGAAGTGTCCCTGAATTTCAAAACATGGTTGACGGGTATTCGTTTTTCAAGCGCCGCTCATAGCCGCCCGTTTCCTGGTTGAGCCGCGTCGCCGTCGCCCTCGGCGTCGGCTTCAGCGTCACCGTAACCACGCATTACACTATGAAACGTTTCCCCGCTAACTTTATCGGGAAAATTTCCCCGCTGTTTTTAGCGGGTTATGGTTCCCCGCTTAATTTATCGGAAAACTTGACGTCACGGGGCTTCAACGTCAATTCAGTTTCCCCGCTAAATTTAGCCGGAAACTTTTTGCTAAATTTACCCGCTAGATTTAGTGGGAAAATTTCCCGGTTAAATTTAGAGGGTAAATTTTCGATAAATTCAGCGGAAAATTTAGCGAAAATTTGACGCCGACTGAGAGGCGGGGCGCACCCTCCCCTCCGCACCCTCCCCTCCTCCTCCTCCTTAAGAGCAGCGCTCTAATTTGGCGTTACAGAGAATCGTAAACGTCGTTCATTTTTTGAAAGATTGATTCTATATTTTTCGGCTAACCAAGACGAGAGTTATGTCATATTTGAAACACAAGCATTTTATATTGAATACTATTTGGCCGGAGGGGGCTAATGAACTGTTCATAAATCTTTTAACGCTTTTATGATATTGGTGGTAAGATGTTTTGATGGCGCAACCTCGCGGGCGCTTTCCTGTGGCATAGCGTGTGATTCATGCGGAGGATGGGGTAAGCGCATGCAGAGTGGTTATGTGAGTTTTGATCATACCAATTTATAAGCGTTAATTTATAAAAACAAAAATGCATGACATTTCTTTTATGTTTTCCTTGTATTAGCCAATTTTATATACACATTTTGTTTTTATTCAAGAACAAGGCTGGATTTTCACATGACAGCCTACGCGACTCAGGTCGCAGAGTCTTTGATTCTTATTCTTTGGTATCGGTCGAGTATCTCGTTATTTTTTTATTTTAGTCAGCAGCGTGTGAGACTTGCTGTGCAGCTCCGGGCTGTTGTTGTGCGTGGCGCCGCCCACTTACTTTGGTTAATCGAGCTCGTTCATAGCGACGCTTTCGTCTATGTTGGACTTGACAGTATATATTTTTATTACTACATTCGGTTAGACGTTCAGAAGGTAGCGGCAAGTGACCCTCAAAGGGAATCATATGTCATTCCACCACCTCCGTATCCAATAGCGTCCCATCGCTTCCGTGACGTCGCGGCCAACGTGCGAGGAGGGTCTTGCCTTTTGTACTTATTTGCTTTATCCTTCGAATTTTACTTAACATTGTGGAAGGCAGGAGAGGGAGATTAGAGTTTTCCCCCTCCGATGGAAACAAATACGACTTTCGGGGATTAGCTTCCCCCTCCGATGGATACAAAGGCTGCTCTCAGGGGCTTGGTTTTCCCTCGAATGAATACAAAGGTCGCTTTCTTAAAAAGTGGGATCGGAGACAAGTTGGAATTTATTGAAGTGGAACAAGGAGCGTTTCCAGTGAACTCTTCTTCCACTGCGGAGAGATTAGAAACGGGCGCATCACGCTTGTGGGAGGAGCTTCTCCTACCTTCTTGACTTGTAACCGACCATAACCAACATTTCTCTTGGAAGGCAATATTGTGTGTGTGTGTGGGGGGGGGGGGGGGGTTAGTTACATACAATTTTATCAAAATGCACCGATGCAAATACACGAAATAGAGATGCATACACATAGCTGCAAAAAGTAAAACACAGCACATACAACGCAAGTAAATTCGTCAAAAAAGGAAGAAAATACCGACTTGTCATGTTTTGCTTTCATGCAAGTCCAGCTTCAGCAAACTCAAACGTTTCTTCATAGGCCAAAACCACAATGTCAAGGAGTGTATTTCACTGATTTATTGTAGGTGTTGCATCGCCTTGCATTGTGGTAAAGTGCTGGATATTCTGTTTTTTATTATCGAGCGCTTCAGTACTGGACTAGCGAATAGCTGACCACCACCCCCAAAAAGCACAGCCTGTGAAGCAGGTTTTGCCGCGCTACCCAAACTACGCACGAAGCGATCTGACGGACCGAAAATTATGCGTCCCCTCGCCGGTATCCCCTACCTGCGCGTCACAGACGATGATGATAGAACCTGGAGAAGCGCCCCTGCAGTTGGCGCACGCCACCGATATCTGGACAGTTACATGCATTCTCTTGGCGAAGTTCATACAAAGCATGCTCTAGACCTATACAACACTTCACGTTACGTTCGACCGCACACAAGGTTACGATCCGATGTAGGCAATCCAGCAGCGCCAAAATTACACCGTCATGGCGCTCGTCCTCTTTGAGCGTTTATTGTAACTTGCTGAACCAGTCATGCGCACAGAAAGCGCAGGATCCCGCAGCATGCACAATGCGTGATTGGTTCAACCGGTGATAGCAAACCCACAAACACAACAAGAGTCGTGATGGCGCACTTCTGGCGCTGACTTATTGGCTCCATCGAATTATAGCTTTGGCATGCGGTCAGACTTGATGTGGAACGGAGTAAAATACCATAACGTTTGTAATTCGGCTATAAATTTACATCTAGTACTAAATATTGATGTCGAACGATCGGTGAGACTTGTTACTGTACTGAGGTGTGACTTCCCGAAAGAGATTTCTTCCTTTTCCCCATTAAGAGTACCTCAATATTGTCTAGAAACGGGTACAAGCCCTACAAACTGTTTCGTATTCACGAGCAAGCTTACAGCAAACAACATCAAAGCGAATAACTAAAATGCAGGCTCCCTAGGTGTTTTTTGTTTTTTTTTTCGCCGAAAATTTTTTCTGGATTTTATTTCTTCGGGAACTAGCATGTGTGCTTGTCCGTTTTAATTCTCTTCCCGCTCTGGAGCAAATTGTGGACACTATGGAATTGGGGAAGTTTCAATGCGTCCTAATGCATACTTGTGTTGTTAGAACTGCAGCTTCTGGGCTTCAGAAGAAGCTTACAAATCAATTCTGCAGTACTCTAAGCCTATCCAAATCAGAATGAAGGGACACTGTTATGTTTACCAGAAAAATAAGAAAGCACGTGGGCAGATTTATGCTACACGCAGCACGCAACTGACACAGTCAGAGAAAGTTTTGAAAGCTGCCATCCCTCTGCTCGACTATTTAGGCAGGGACAATCGCAAGGTTGCCAATATAATTATTCCGTAGATAATGGTTGTCGTCCTAGGCAGCCAGAAGGATGCCATCTTGCAATTGTACCAATACCCGTTTCAGAACTCACACAAGTGGTAATGTCTTCAGCAGTGTTTTCGCAGAGCCTAAAACACAATTTTTTTTTTTTTTGAGGGGGGGGGGGGGGGATAAGTGTACTTTGACTGAAAAGCAGTTTCGCTATATTGGTACCAAACTGTGCAGTGTGGCCGGCTGAGGCGAAGACCCTTAATGTCTTCCTTACTATTCAAATGCCCGACCTTTCTCTACATTGTACGGCAAATAATCTCTTACATTGATTTATTTTTACAATATTTCACGTTGTGCAGCGAGAAGCGAGAGATGCTGAATGAAACTATCACAGCACGATTCTGTAACGCTGCCGTCAAGTTAAGTTTCAATCACTCTTATCCACAGGATTCTCTGAACGCCCCAGAATGCAGTATATGGTGCTGTCCTCATAATTACAACTACCGATGTCTACCAGCTCATCTTACGGATGGAATGGAATGTCAACGAGGATTTGTAAGGGCCCTTTTTTAATTTCTACTGTAGAGAATTCCCGTGAAAGACAGTCGATGGAAAAAACATTTCAGTTCACTACAATTCGCTTGTTTAACTATGTACGGTTAGCATCAGCTGTGGTGAAAGAAAAGCGGCTAGTCGCGTAATAACAGAAATATTAAACCTGTCTTTTTATTATAGAATCAATCGAATACTTTTCACTTTTTTTATTTATAAAATTGTAACCACGTTGTGCAGGTTATTTTGTCAATTAAATTAGGTGAGGTAATTATATAGCTGAAGGGCACATAGGCTGTGTCGGTATCATTAACTAGTCTTGCGAAGCATTTTTCAATAATATCATTAATACATCGTTTCTGCACATGCCCCGAGGTTGAGTTGTTACTGTAGGTTGTAAGATTACCCTTGCTGCACCCGCCTCGGAGTATGACGCAATGCACTGGTTCAACAACACGTAGTCACTTATTGACCGCTATGGCCGCGCGCCTGACCCAAAAAGGCCCGGTACACACTCTGCGCAGGCCTGTTATGAGTGGTGGAGGGCAACGCGCCTGGCCAATTGCACTTAGCTACCAGCGGTGGAAAGGACGGGACACGATTTAACATGTGGACAACCTGGCCGAACGCTGTGTGTCACTAGGTTGCCCACTAGGTATAATTATGGTGCCTGGAACGCGTCTCCAACTTGTGTGTTTACTGCGCCAAAAAAGCGGTCCCTCGATTTCCGCCTGACGACGGGATAAGAGTGTCATGCTGTCGCCGATCGCGAGCCTGGCGGCGTCCCAGCAGTTGTGGTAAAAATGGCAGACGCCTGTTCTGCTGCAGGTCGCTTTCCATTGTTACAGTTCACGGAAGCTAGGGCAGCCGGAAGTTGGGACGCCTAAAGCGACACTCGCGTTCGCTCGTGCTTTTCGCCAGCATTTCTACGGCCAACCGCCAGGATCGCGACAGGCAACAGCATAACACTCGCGTCATTTGTTGCCACATTGGGACCACTTTTCATGTATGGGCGGGATAGGGCGCTAAGCACAGCAGTCGAAGACGCGAGCGAGGCACCATAGTATAATGATCAAGGTTGTTGAATTTTAAGAATCAACAGATGGACAGATGCTAGGTGACTTTTGTTGGGGCGCTGGTTTATCTAACTGATTGTGATACAGTCATGTCTCGTTAATATGGACCCCGCTAATAAGGATACCCCACTATATGAGCACCACATTCGGGGACAAACTGGGGAAACACATGCATTTTTGTCTCGTGAGTATGGACAACTCACGTTATGGATGATTTTTTTACGGAAACGGAGGTGTCCATATTAACAAAACATGACTGTATATGCACCTGTTATGTAACCACCGCATGTACACCAACGCTTCCAACGCGTTTTAGACGGTTCGCAATAATCGGTTTGTTAGGGTGTCGCGCTGCGATTTAATACAGATGCATGCTGCTATGTGGTAGAATCTTGGAGTAAACAAATAAAGTACCCCATTAAAAAAAAGTAGAGGTTCCGGCAGTCTGCGGCGGCATTCGCAGGCGATGTCATGAACCTGCTCTCCTGGTTGCATGTGCCTAACAGAGATGTCGGAAACGTCGTTGGTGCGCCAGCGCCGTGCTTAGCAGACGATCTTAAGAACGTCTTCACTATACCAGCTCACATCTGCTTTACGTACAATATGGAAAGTGCGATAATTAATTAATTTAAGAGAAGCCTTAATAAACAAGCACACTTTTAAATTCTTCATGGCTCCAAATTTTTGGTACAGAATTAATCGTTCGAGGCATAGAGTTAATATGCTAATCTACACCCAACTGCAAAGGCCACTTCAGCCCTGAAGTGTAATTGGACCCTCTCAGCCATTCAAAGCCCTACAGCTCATCAAGCCCTTCAGCCCTTCAAACCTCTTCAGCCCTTCAACCCCTTCGACGCCCGAATTAGTCGGAACCATAGAACAAAAATTCAGTTTAAAAAGTTACTGGAAATCTATTTCAGACATTGGGTTTTATACGCACGATGTAACTCACAAAGACGATAAGAACCCGCGTGTATTCAAACCCGAGCGCCAGCAGCTGTAAACAAAATCAATCAGACCAAATAGGAACAACTGAATTATTTATCACAAAACTATATTGAGAAGTACTCATAATGCGCTGGGTAAATTTTTATGATGTACGGTAGTTCAATAGAGTCAAGCAGGTTTTGCACACGCACAGATACTCTCAGTCAGTAAGACGTTTAGCGAAAATCACGAACGTCAAATCAACGTCCGCCGCCGTTGAGAAATTCGGAACGCGGTGAAGGTGTCGTCGCTGGTGCCGTCGCGGTGGCGTCCCCGGCTTCTTTTTTCATCACTGGGCAAGTTTCTGAAGCCGGAACAGACGAAGAGGCGCAAGAAACAGGGCACTGAGATACCTTTTCCTTGATCCGTACACTGAACTGCTCTATAAGATAGGTCCCACGCATGGTACTGGAAGTCAATACTGAGCGTCCGCTCGTTTCTTGCGCCCAGTACAGAATGACCAAGCGGCTTCCCCGACGCCTGTATCCTGAAGGGTTACATGATCACTCCCACAGACACGTTAAAACGATTTTGATGGGTGCTGTGCTTCCACAGAAAAGATCGGAAGACTCCATCGGCCTCCCAAAAACCGTGAAGGGTCATTACACCCGTAAAAAATTTCTGAAGGGTACTACAGGCCCCTAAGACAAATTGAAAGGCATTTCAAACTTTAAAAAAATGTGAGGGTACGGCAAAACATTTCAGAAATCATGATGGACCCCATAGACAGTTTTTCAATAGGGGAGGAGAAAGCCCCATGCATTTGGGCCCCATACGAACGGCAGGGTGTAGACGCGGACATCGGCAGTCGCGATGAGCCCCACTGGCGACGCTTTAATATGAATAAAAAAGCAGCGCATGCGACGTCTCTACACGGTTATTTTCTAGCTTCCTTTGCAGGAAAACACCGGATGCTCGCATTCTGTAAAATTAAATAAAGGTGACAAGCGCTCGAGCAACTTCAGCCCGTCGCGGTAAAACAAACACTCTTAGCATTTCGTCGGCTTTCTTTCTCCGATCTTTCTCGTTCTTTCTCTCGGAGCCGCCGATGTAAGCTCCAAAGATTCGCAGCGTTCCACTCCCGTTTTAGCCCCCTGGACTGAGGCGCCGCACACGTAATCTTGATGATGACGACGATTTTAAGGCTACTCACTCCCTTTGAAACAAGTGGTTGCAAAACAATTTGTTCGTACCGAGCCAAGATAAAAATAAAATAGTTCTAGAAACAAAGCACATATAATGTAACTTCTCCTGCGTTCTTCGCCACAATTTCTCAAACCTACTCTTAGTTTTTTCGGTCACTTCTCTCCATCTTCCCTTTGCTCCGTTTCCACTGCGACGCGCGTTGCGTCCGCACTTTGGACGTTAGTTGTAACAGCTCTGTTCGCACTAAAAGTCTTATGTAGCATCATCTGTCGACAGCACACTCGACTAGGTGGGCACGGACATGTCATCGTCTGCGAATGCCGTCAACGCAGAATGGCCGAAACAGTTATTATTATTATTATTATTATTATTATTATTATTATTATTATTATTATTATTATTATTCCTATTAATATTATTATTATTATTATTAATAGTATTCCTATTATTATTATTATTATTTAACGAGGTAATCTTGTCCCTTAATAAATCTGCCTAGCCGCAACTCTGTAGTAAATATGTTAACGAGGTAATCCCGTTAACAACATAATATGGTCCATTAATATAGCCAAATAGCCGCACATCTGTAGTAAATGGCACAGTGATACTTTGAGAAACCGATTTTTGGACCGTCTAAGCTGATTTAGAAGCGTTAATGTACACGAACGCTGTCTAAGAAGTGCATAAATACAAAATATTGTAACCTCTTCGCTTATTTCGCATTGAATCAACGGGCAATTTGAGTACTTAAAAAATAATCCTACAAACCTTTACTGCTCTATGAGTCAATTTAGATCACCTATTCGGTAATGATGGGGACTAACACCATTTGCTAATTGTTCTATAACCTCTTATATTTTGCCTACAAAATAGCTATATATAAGAAAAGAGTCAAAGTACAGGCTAGCTGGTGGAAGTCAACCATTTCGTCGTTTACCCTGAGACTGGGTTTTTTTTTTTGAAGAGCAGAAGACACAGAAAATTGAGACCTGTCTGTTTTTTCTGTTTCTTCTGCTCTTCAAAAAAAAAAAAAACCAGTCTCAGGGTAAACGACGAAATGGTTCTATATAAGAGTTTCATTTTTGTCCAAACAGATTTCTTAAAAAGGAGCAGTGAATGTTACATTGATGCGTTTTCGGCCAGTGAGGCATAAGGCCAAGGAAAAATATTATAAGGGCTAATCACGATAACCCAAATAACTAATTAAAATGTGTTAAGGAACTTTTTATAATTAGGCCGACACTAGAGGTCCTCTGACGCCACCCTCTGGTGTCTGCGATAATTCCGATGTAATCTGTTATGTATTAAGTGGTATGGAGTCGCTATCTAGCAAATACAAAGTAGACCGCGCCACTCTGCAGAGCACGGCGGGTCATGTATGGGAGCGCTTGCACTCATGGACGTTGCACTGTCAAGCCGTCCATCGTTGTTCTGTAACCGTACCGCTTTTTGCTTAGCGAAAGCTATGTGCTTGTGTCGTAATTATGTCGCGACCAGGATCTAACATAATTTATCCTTGATACCCATTTTAATAGAGAAATCGGCCACTCATGATTGTAATGTTTGATTTTTTTAGGATGCTTAGAGGCCATAGATTGAGTGTGGACCATAAATAGATAAATAGACTATCACATAAAGCAGTTTAGTGCCCTGTTAAGTCCGGGCGGAGCCGGCGCTGCGAGCTGATGGAACCAGGCAGGTAGCGTCAAGAACTTACCAGCATATTGTTCGTTATGTCAATGTGAGTGTTCTATCATCGCTGAACTAATCGTAAACAAAAAGCTCATTACTTCGTAGCGTCGGCTGCGGCTGGGTATTTCTCGAAATTATCACGTACGTGCAGATTTTGGCTTGTGGCGCTTTGAAAGCCCTAGATAGCGTTCAAGAGGCCCTGCAGCGACTTTTTATTGGTTTTTAATTTGTACCGAACCTGAGCGCACTGAACGTAGTAACTTAGTGAACTTTTTTCTTTTTTTTTTCGAATTTCGCTTTATATTAAAATTTACAGGTGTATTAAAATTACAAAAAACAAGCAAAAAATAACCTCCTTCATGACACCCTTGGTCCTCTGTTCCCCCTTTTCCTCCTCCGTGGACCGCGGCGACCGAGGAATCTGGGGAGGGAGGGGAAGACGGAGAAAGGAGGTGAGGCCGAGGAGAGAGAGCTGCCCGGGAACGGGGCAGCTTTCTTTCCTCGGCTGACCAGGACCAACAACGTCACGGTTTTGTCACATGCGGCGCGCGTTGGACGCAGCGGACCGCCCCTGTAGGAGGAGGAGGTTTCCGCGTCGTCCGGTTAAAATATGACGAACTAATATTTAATCACTGCCTCTGTGCCCTGACTTGCCCGAACCACAAGAGAAGTGGAAACCGAAAAAAAAGGTAGCCGCTTAAATAGGATTACAGGGCCCCCTTATTACTTTGTAACTGCTTGCGGGGAATGACAGGATTTTAGGTTATTTTTTTAAGTACAATTGGAGTACTAGCGCAGACTTTCTTTGTAAGATATATGCGACGAGAGGGGTTAGCGCTTGAGAGGGTCAGAGTAATTTGAGAGCCACAATAGCGGAAGTGGACTTGGACATTCCCATCGCCCCACTCCTCCTGAAACGGTTCCTGTACATGTGCAGTAAACACACCAGCTGGGGGCAAACAGACTTATTTGTAAAAATGGGTCTGATGCAATACTTTTTTTTATTCAATCAACGGTATAAGATAAAAATACAGGGTGTCCCAGGTAACTTGCACCAAATAAAAAGAAAAGAAAAAAAACGAAGGGTTCTGCAAAGGCAAGTCAACCGTATATTGAAAATACAAGAATAAAATCACAGATGACGGGGACGGAAAGAGAAGTTCCGTTTCCACCTCCGTCCTCTATGTTTTTATTCTTTAATTTATTGGTATCAAATTCACCAACACGCTCCTTTTCAATTAATACTGCCACTGTATGTTGTCAAGCGTCTTACAAAACTGCGAACGTTTTTTACTGGGCCTAGTTATTTAAATTTGTAATACTAATTTGCTTAATTTTCTAATTATTTGTTTATGGGTCGAGGTGTGAATGGGATAGTTCTAGAGCGCATTGATAAACAGAAAAATTACGGTGTTTGCTACATGATCCGCTTTGCGCACTTCTTAGCGCTTGAAAGGGTCAGGATTGGTCTAGAATTAAAGCCCACAAAATATTCAAATTCAATTTGTCGCTTCTTTATTGCTTACATTGAAATGTAGCATCGGCTGCGGACGGCCTTAAGGTGAATCGTAGTATAGCGATGCAGCTCTCTCGACTTCCGCTTCAGGAAAGACGATGGTGTCCTTTGTACCTTTCCTTAGGCGACTCGGTGGGTGCCGGTAACAAATAGTGATCTTATTCCCACGCTTCAATATGACTTGCGTTACGTCAGTCATTAGCCTAAATAGTTTAGCCCTTCTGCGTGGAGTTTAACGGCAACGAAAATCCAGGCGAACGCGAAGCAAGTCGAAATGAAGTCCCTCGAGTTATGATTTCAAGACCACAACATGTTTTGATGTTCCAGCACTGCGTCAAACACCGATGCGTTAGGAAGACGACGTACCAGCCACCCAGGCCAGCGCCGCCTACACGTTATACAACCCGGTCAACGACAACCAGCACGACACGGAGGACACAGAGAACTCGTCGGCCGTATTGGTATAACTTGAAACAAGACAAAACAAACCCCGACTCCAAGAGAACCTATCACTCGAGGATGAACTCAGTACAGGGCAAGGTGGCTGATTCGCTCGTGGAGACGGCCAGGGCTACGCTCCCGCATTAATTTAACTGCGCCGAATCTCAGACAGAACCACCCCTCTCAAGGAGACACACGGAGATTGTCAAAATGATCTGCCTGAACTACGACCGCGAAAATGAAAGAAATAAAGTGATAGCTGGAGCGCCAGTCTAGTAACTATATGGTCTGTTTTACTTGGTTGATTTTGATATCCGATAACGATACCCGACAACGATAGAATGCATGCGCAAGGGCGCTTCGGAATTGGAGCTACCGGAAGGATCTACTGAAACACCCTACTACTTCAGCACTGTATTCTGTTTCACTTTACGGTGTACCACAACGGATGCGATGTACCACAACGGCAATCCACAGCGCGGAGTGGGTCACGAGACCTTCCGAATAAGTGGATCGACGCTCTGTGAGAGGTAACGTTGTACACGCAGATCGCTGGATTAGCAGACATTGCTCGTAATGTCCGTTGCGGCAAACTGTAAGGTTATACAGAGCAGAGAAACGTGCTAAAGATAAATTTTATGCATACTGTTCCTGTTATTATTATCTAATCATGTTCAGATATACAATAAACCTCGCTCTTTTTATGCTCGCTTTCATTAGAGAATTAACATTTATGAACTGAAATTGCCTGTGCGTTTTCACTCCATACTCTGTATAGTTATTGGGGAGGAGGACAAACCGTGACGTCCCAGGTGGTTAACTTTAGAACTACACGGATTCGGACAAAAAATACAATCACTCAGCGCTCGGCCGACATAACCGAACGCGGCGTCAGCGTTCGGCTGGAGTTCGCGTTCTCCGGCGACGGGCAGGACGGCTCTTTTGTTACCACTCCGGCCTGCACGAACAATGCAGCATGCACGGTGCCTAGTTCAGCACAAAAGCCGAAGTGGGTCAAGCTCGCACTCTCTGACGACTGATTTCGGGATAGATCCGGTACTTAACCTCACTTCGTCAATCGTTAGTATTTTTTTACATTACACTGTGCCCCGCGCTCTATTATAGAAGATGACATGAACATGCCCATAAGGCCTGTGGATATGTGCACAGAACTTGTGTTGAGTAAACACCGAGGTGTGAAGAAACAAACAGGTCAGATCTCCTGCCCAATAACGAGCTACATGTGCTGCACTGTTAGCTGAGAACCACCTGTTTGTTTGGTTGCTAATTTTTATTATAACTTTGAAACTTCTCTTCCTCGTGTAATTCCTTTGAACGAGGCCTTTAAGTGTAAAATAAATGAAAAAATTATTAATAAAACAATCCTAGAAAAGGTATAATCAGTTTTATAGCATCCGTCGCTGTAAAAAATGGCATAAAAAGTTGCATTTTTGTAGCAAGGTATTAAATCACTGGAGAAATTCCTGATCAAACAATCGATATGCATGCCCATATCACATATAACTCCCCATGCGTATTGCCGCTTTCCAACGTGGAACTTCCAAGAACTGACAAGTATTATTTTAGTTTTTTTTTTATTTTAAACATGTACATCCACAAAATCATTCCACTTAAACTATCTAAAACGAACTGGCACCTCTTTTAGTAAACATTAGTATATTCGTGAAAATCGAATCTTGATCTATTCTGTATTTTGAACCTCACCAAAAGTGCTCCTTCGAGCATTTCCACTACTCGGTCGTTCTTAAAGGAGTCATGAAACGCTTTTCCAACTTTTTTTTTGTTTAGGTTTCCTCCTCAACTCATGAGTCGCGCATTCTACCAGACAGTTCAAGAAGACGGAAAGGGGGAGTCCCTCTTGCTCGGAATCTCGTTTGTATAGCCGGACACAGCCATTGTCCCCCTAGAAGATTATCCCGTCGCTCAAAATTTCAGACAAAGGTTGCTTTCCCCACCCGGTTCACCCAGAAGCTGACAGTGCGGTGGAAGCTACGTGCTCGTTGGGCCAGCCACACTTTTGCCACGGGATCACGCTCTCTCGCGCATACCGACGCGCAGAAACTAAGGTCAGGTGATGAGAGGGAGGTGGCTGATTGGTCTGGCAAGCGCGTAGCTTCCACCACAATGTCAGCTTAGGGGTGAAGGGACTAAGTGAGGTCCGGGGTCGTGTGACGTGCGTTTGGGCCCGATGACGCGCTGCAGGTGCCCGGTGACGCCCTGCAAGGTCCGCGGATGTATTACAGTGAGAAGGCAGAGAGCTTACGAAGGGAAGGAGGTACGAAATAGTCCGCTGTGTTTTCAAAATTTACGTTCCGAAATTCAGGCTTTTGACTTTATACTTTTTTTCTTTTGGCCCACTGAACGAAGTGCTATTACTAAAATTCTAATATAAATTGATTTACTACAGCAAAAAATTTGTTTCATGGGCCCTTTAAAGGGGTACAGAAACGGAAATTGAAGTATTGAAATTTCGTTCGGAAATGAGTCAAGCACGACGGATAATAACCGTAAATGATAATCGCACGTTTTTATTTTGAACGACTGGCTATATTTTTCGTTCCAAACGGTGCACGTGCTCGAGACAGCGCTCGAAGAGAAGCGAACGGAGAGCGCGATGGGTCATGGGATATCCGGAGCCAAGAAAAACAGAGAAAAAAAATTCTCCGCATTTGTGATGTAGCAAGCCTGGCGTGGTTATGAGCTTTGCCATTGGTGGCATTGTAAGTGTTATGGTGGAGTCAATAGCGTCAACGCGTTACAACCGAGCCATTGGAAGTACCCGTGGGTGACGAGCGTGTGGCTGACCCAAAAAGCACGTAGCTTCCACAGCGCTGTCAGCTTAGGGGTGAGCGGAATGGGAAAAGCAAGTTTTGTCAAAATTTTAAGCGACGGGCTGATCCTCTAGGAGGACAATGGATGTGTCCGGATACACAAGCGAGGGTTTGGTACAATGCGCGATTTGTGAGTTGAGGAAAGCTATGTAGGAAAATTTTTAATTCCAAAGAGCGGCGCTGCTCCGATGCACCTTTCTACGTCATGACTACGTAGCAACTTCCCCAACGTTGCTAGTTTACCTCCCAGATAGGCTCCACATGCATCCACCAGGTGCGTATTGAAAAAACGTTTAATTAGCTTTAAAATTAGTTTTCTTGTACCTTTCAACGAAAGACTGGTATCTTTGAGGTTATGCTGCCGCATGCAGCCCATTAAAGCTAAAAAATTAGCGCTGGAATTTTGTTTCCGTACCCCTTTAAAAACATGATGATTTAGATTGTACGGCTCGCCTATATCCTGATTGTTATCTCTGGTGCCTTCTTCCAGGAACATGCCTGTAGGCACTCGAATTGATCTCATGACACTCATTGGATAATTAGGAGACAAACAACATTAATCTTCTATACTTCGTTTCAGCTTAGGTCCGAGCGCGGCCGATATTATGAGCCGAAGGGCCAATCAAACAGCGAGAAAAGCGCAACGTCATGACGTGCTCTTTGCGTTTGATTACTGACAGAGGAGCAGTCCACAGCAGGACGAGGAAAACCGGCTGATCCTATCAAATACAGAGAGCACGCCATGACGTTGTGCTTTTTTCGCTGTTTGATTGACCCTTCGGCTCATAACATCGGCCGCGCTCGGACCTAAGCTGAGACGAAGTATATTCTTGTGTAGTAAACCTCCGGATCGAAAAGACCATGAGGCTTTTCTGATGGACCATGAGCCCATACCTGGTGGACCATCAGACTTTCCTGATGGACTATCACACTTCTTTAATTGCCCTTAAGGCTTCCTGATGGACCATCAATAAAGTCTGATGGACTATCAAAAGAGTCTGCTGGACCATCAGACGCGTTTAGATGATCGGTCAGAAGTTCCTGACGGCGCCAATGGTCTGTTGGACATTCTTGATGGGCCATCATAGGTGGTCTGATGGTCCGTCAGAAGTTTTATGTTTCACTTCGGATTCATCAAAAGCGTCTTATGGATCAGCCGTCGGGACTTTCCTTGCAGACAATGCTTACCAAATGTGCTTCATTAATTGTGGCGCACGTAATTTTGACGGCGCCGTCAGAGGCGTTTAATAACATTTGATATATGGGTCACGACATATTTCCAGGAAGTGATGAGCCCCGGGCTCGCGAGGTACTGACACAACTAATATGTCACGCGATTTCTATTTGCACACTGAGCACCCGATTCACCGGCAACTGTGCGTTCGTCTGCAATCAATCATACGCACCGTGGAAACCCGTAGTTACGGTAGGGTCCATCGTTTTAAATATTCTTCATCACGCCTTTCATTACCAACGAAAGGTCGACAGACTTTTCGTCGACACTTTATGTTTTATCGACACCGCACCCCTGAGCCCCGCGACCGTTCTGGTGCGCATCGGACGGTCGCGGCGGCGATTAACTTCGACTTCCAAACAGACCGTGGGGCCATTGCTTTGATTTACTTCGCTCGAAGATTAAATAGTCCAGAAAATGCGCCACCGCCTCGCTGAATAAGCAGCCCAAAGTCGAAAAGGTTCCGCAACTTTGCACGCTACAAAATAGGCGATTTGAGGCTATGTTGCAAAACAAAAGCTGTCGTTGAATCTCGCGTATGATATATGGGCAGCAACCGCGTGGTCAATGGGTTGATGTGATTTTTTTTGTTATTAAGGGGGAAACCTTATATTGTCTCATCGTTCAGCCGACCATTCAAAGTTCTTGAGCGAAAACACGTCGAGTCACAAAAGGTACTAAAACCGGCGACACGAAGGTAGAAAAACCCACATTATTCAGTATTCAGCTGCACCAGAAAGCTTATGGACCAGGGCGGTCGTTAGCGAAGGAGCGTCGCAGGCCTTGTAGACTCAATTAAAGCTTTGACCATCACCAGTGCTGATTGTTGCGCAAGTTGGTATATACCAACTTGCGCAACAATCAGCACTTGTTAAAACGTGCTATTCTGTTTTAAGCAGCTCGCACCAAATATTTTCTTGAAATACATAGGTTCATGGAAATTATTATGTAGATGTTGGCAGACAGTCATGGCGAGGTCAATGTTTAATGCCAAGTGGTCCATTTATTCGGAGTTGGTTGAGTCTGTAAATATTGTAGGTCGCAAATTAAATTTTTATGGTACGCAATGGGCACAATCATCCGTAATGACTAGCTCTACCTACGGGAACTTCATACGTTTACTACGGC